ATCTCAGCTCAACAGATCTTGGTTCTTTTATGGAACCAAGTTCCATAAGCCCTTGGTTCCACTTTATGGAACCAAGTGATATTAAAGATTGCAGGACCCATTCTGGGTTGGTGACTGGGACCAGAGGTTTGGTCTTCTGGGAGTTTTGGATTCATGCTGGAGCCCATGCTCAGGGAACTTCTCTGTAGCAGAATGTGTGTTTTGGGTTATTCTGTGTGTCTCGTTCCAATGAACGAGGACATGCGTTCAATTTTGCATGATTGTCAGTAGAGGAGGGACAAAAACAACCAAGGAAACCAGGGATCCATCATGTTCTCAACGCAATGGAAGATTTAGGGTGATCCATCATGTTCTCAACTCAATGGGAAAAGGTGCTGGACACAGTAGATCTATCATGTTCTCAACTCAATGGGAAAAGGTGTTGGACACAGTAGTTCCATCATGTTCTCAACTCAATAGAAGATTTAGGATGCTCCATCATGTTCTCAACTCAATAGAAGATTTAGGATGCTCCATCATGTTCTCAACTCAATGGGAAAAGGTGTTGGACACAGTAGATCCATCATTTCTCAACTCAATTGAAAAATGTGTTGGGCACATTAGATCCATCATGTTCTCAACTCAATGGGAGAAGGCGTTGGACACAGTAGTTCTATCATGTTCTCAACTCAATAGAAGATTTAGGATGCTCCATCATGTTCTCAACTCAATGGAAGATTTAGGGTGATCCATCATGTTCTCAACTCAATGGGAGAAGGTGTTGGACACAGTAGTTCAACTCAATGGGAAAAGGTGCTGGACACAGTAGATCCATCATTTCTCAACTCAATGGAAAAAGGTGTTGAGCTTAGTAGATCTATCATGTTCTCAACTCAACGGAAGATTTAGGATGACCCATCGTGTTCTCAACTCAATGGGAAAAAGTGTTGGGCACAGTAGATCCACAGTTTTGAGAGAGGTAGCTTTCCCTATGCAAGTTAGGTGCCCCTTGATGCCCCTTGGTTGAGACGTTCTCCTCTTCAATCAAACATTGAAGTTTAAAGCGTCAAGCGACTTGAGTGGAAAATTGAGAACAACTACGAAGCTCTTAGGAAAGTATATAGGAGACGTTTACTCTGAGATGTTACTGCTGGTGAGAAATACAAGGAAGTTGGGAAGGCGAGCTCAAGTAATGAAAAGATTGAATGCACCTCCTTTTTTGACTCTTGCTCAAACGTACAATTTCCCCTCCACCGTCTTTAGGTTGGACAAATAATGCAACTTTTACTCTTTGTGGCTTTCATGTCATCATACGTTGTATGGTCAACAGGGAGTGTCTCTGATCTTAATACCGGATAGTATACATTGAACTTGGTGGAGTTATTTGTTCGGGATAAATATTTGGATATGTTTGTCTTCCATGCTTTAAGAAAAACGAGAAGCTAGAAATCATAATTCAAAAATGACAAGGGGAAAAAAAAAAACCCCACGGAGCTCGTAGAAGGCAAGGCCAAGGAGATAAGGATACGAATTGTTCATATAAGATTTGGAATTGAATGACCACCTCATTCTTGTACGTTATACCGGTAAGTCCTCGACTTACAACAGTTTATGTAGTGCCCTTTTGAAATTATACCAGTGCAGAAAAAAGTGAGTTATGACCATTTTTCATGCTTAACGACCGTTGCTGCATCCCCATGGCCACGTGATCAAAATTGAGATGCTTGGCAACTGACTCGTAGTTATGACAGTTGCAGCATCCCGGGCCCTTTTATGACCTTCTGACAAGCAATGGGGGAAGCTGAATTCATTTAACAACCGTGTGACTCACCTAACAATGGCAGTGAGCTCTCGCCTCACAATCAGGAGGCTGTGAGTTCGATCCTAGGTAGAGGCAGATATTTCTCTCTCTGGGCACAATGAGAATATATCTGCTGAATGAAACTCCACATTGGCGACAGGAAAGGCATCTGGCCATTCAAACACTCCGCTCCATTCAGTTGCCCAGACTCCACCCCGGAAGGAATTATGGGGTCGTTAAAAGAAGATGATGATGATGATTTGTGTCATGGAAGATAAAATAAGAAACAGAAACTAAAGCAGAAAAGAGATAATCCACCTTAACAGAATAACAGAACAGAACTTTCCACTCAGTGGTGGGTTTCAAATTTTTTTACTACCGGTTCTGTGGGTGTGGCTTGGTGGGCATGGCAGGGGAAGGATACTGCAAAATCCCCATTTCCTCCCGATCAGCTGGGACTCGGGAGGTAGAGAATAGATGGGGGCAGGGCCAGTCAGAATTTTTACTACCGGTTCTCCGAACTACTCAAAATTTCCACAACCGGTTCTCCAGAACTGGTCAGAACCTGCTGAAACCCACCTCTGATTCCACTCCATCGTATTCTATTCTATTCTATTCTATTCTATTCTATTCTATTCTATTCTATTCTATTCTATGCTATGCTATGCTACGCTACGCTATGCTATTCTCTTTTCTTTTCTATGCTATTCTACTCTATTCTCTCTTCTCTTCTCTTTTATTTTATTCTATTCTACTCTACTCTACATTCTATTCTATTCTATTCTACTCTCTTTTCTTTTCTATTCTATTCTACTCTACTCTATTCTCTTTTCTTTTCTATGCTATTCTACTCTCTTCTCTCTTCTCTTCTCTTCTCTTCTCTTTTATTTTATTCTATTCTACTCTACTCTACTTTCTATTCTATTCTATTCTACTCTTTCTTTTCTATGCTATTCTACTCTCTTCTCTCTTCTCTTCTCTTCTCTTTTATTCTATTCTATTCTACTCTACATTCTATTCTATTCTATTCTATTCTACTCTACTCTCTACACTACTCTCCTCCGATGTAGCTAGATTTTTCTGAAAGAAGCAAAATTCTTTCTTCTCTGGTTCCACGATGAAGCGTAAAGTGTAATTCATCCACCCTCTAGAGGCCCATTTGAGAATAAGAATTTCTTTCAAGGAAAAACCCTGCAAGAAAGCAAGCCGGCCATTTGATTTTACGATGTTGGATGTTGCCATCTTTCGAGAGGCTCGTGCAATGGCTCATTCTACTTCTGCTACACCAACGGTCTGGATTTTAGGTCTGACAGGGCTTTCTTCAGTGGTGGGATTCGAATAATTTCACAACCGGTTCTCTGCCCTACTGACCGGCTGGGTGGGCGTGGCCATGGTGGGCGTGGCCAGGGGTGTGTGACAGACAGCACTCGGCCTCCTGAACCCCCCTGGGAGCAAAAACGGGCCATGGGGGGGCGCATCCCCCCGCACCCCGTTTTGGGCCTAGTAGGCCTCCCTGCACTTACCTGGGAGCCAAAACGGGGCACGGGGGGACTCCTGGAAGGGGTGAGAAGGGGTGGGGCCAGCCAGAAATTTAACTACCGGTTCACCGAAACTGGCTGAATCCCACCACTGACTTTCTTATTAAAAGTCATCAACTCATAAACATAACTCATAAACATAAACTTATTAGAAGTCATAAACATAAACAAGCTCCCAAGTCATAAACTTGGAGCTGCCGTCTAAGTTGGGTCATCAAGAAAACATTGTGGTCGGCCATTTCTGTCCCATACCAAAAATAATTACAGGTTGTCCTCGAATTACAACACTAAATGTAACACTAAATTACATTTAGTGGACCATTCGAAGTTACAACGGCACCGAAGAACGTGATGTATTATGACCATTTTTCGCAGTTACGACCTCTGCAGCGTCCCCGTAACCATGCGATCAAAATTCAGAGGCTTGGCGGCTGGTTCATACTTACGACCGTTGCTGTGTCCCAAGGTCACGTGATCCCCTTTTGCGACTGCCTGACAAGCAAAGTCCAGGGGGGAAGCCAGATGCACTTAACAACCGTGTTACCAAGTTGTCAGCTGCAGTGATTCACTTAAACGTAGCGAGAAAAGTCGTAAAATGGGGCAAAACTCACTTAACAAATTTCTCACTTAGCAGCATAAATTGTGGTCATAAGTTGAGGACTACCTACTGTATACACCTGTGGATGTGTATGAAGGACACAGCCGCCTGTTTCGTTGTCCATCGGACCAGCTATCGTAAGTACCCACCATCATATTGTGGCCAAATTTCCTGACTTACATTTTAAAAGCCAACTTTCCTAAACGGGTGTCCCAAGGCTGTTGGAAACCATAGAAAAAAGAAAAATAAATACCGTATTTTCCCGAGTATAAGACGCTCTGGACTATAAGACGCACGTACCTTTTTTGGAGAGGAAAACAAGAAAAAAAAATCTGCCTCTGTCTCTGCCTCCCTACAGTAATTTGCCTCCTTGCAGCAAACAGCAAACAGCCTGTTTCAGTTTCATTTTCAGCACAGCCTGATTAGCACAAGAAAAAAAAAATCAGCCTCTGCCTCCCAGCAATTCGCCTCCTTGCAGCAAATAGCGGATGCTGAAAATGGGGCGCGCAAAGGCGGCAATAGGCAATGTCAATCCCTGCAACCTGAAACAACTGATAGTCGGGAGGCCGATCCAACCGACAATCAGCTGCTTGTGCTAATCAGGTTGTGAAGCTGAAACTTGAAACGGGCTGTTTGCTGTTTGCTGTTTGCTGCAAGGAGGCAAATTGCTGGGAGGCAGAGGCCAAAGGGTGGAGGCCGGCAAGTGGGAGGGGCTACATTCGGTGTATAAGACGTACCCAAATTTTCACTCTCTTTTAGGGGGGGGGAAGTATGTCTTATACTCTGAAAAATACGGTAAATAAAACAACAGAAAAAAAAACCCTGGAAAAATAGACCCAAAACTGAGGCAGGCGTTCTGTAAAGACTGTTACAAGGAGCCCAATAATCTTCACAGGTTTTTCCAGCGTCCAGGTAAACAAGGTGTGTCATGCTGACCTGTGGCCTGAAAAATGGAGAGTGGGGGTATTTCAGGCTTTGCCAGATTTTGAAATTGAGGACAGAGGCTAGCCGGAAATGGAAAGAGGCCAACGATAACCCAGGAAAGCAATTGTAAAACAGGTTCTGCAACCAGAACCAGAAGCAGAGAAGTTAGACGTCAAGTAGAAGTCGACATTTGACCCAACACAAGAGCTGGACTTCCCACCTGAAAAAACAGATCCAAAATTGAACCCGATGTTCTGTGAAGGCAGTTACAAGGAGTCAAATATTCACCGAACAACTGTCTCGCTTAGTAATTTGGAGCTCAGTTGTGGCCATAAGTCAAGGACTACCTACTTAGAATGGAACTAGCAGAGTGTTTTACTGGCCGGATGCCCTTCCCGTCACCAATGCGGAGTTTTGTTCAGCGGATATATTCTCATTGTGCCTAGAGAGAGAAATATCTGCCTCTACCTAGGATCGAACTCACAGTCTCCTGATTGTGAATTGAGAGCTTCTAGGCCACCACACCACTCTTGTGGTCCAACAGATAATAATCTGGTGATAATGACCATGTGTCTTGTAAGAAGGAATGAGGAGCTTGAGGGAGGCTCAAAATACCAGCCGAGATACCAGGCGCGATACCGAATTGAACCCCAAGGCAGCTTGGGTGTGTGTGACCTAACCGAAGGATTTACAAAGGCAATGAATTCTGGTTTTTATGACCCGCAATATTTATAATTTTCCCGAGAGCTCTTGGAGGCTCCGGTGCGGGGACCTTTGCGCTATGCAATTGCTGTTATAAATGCCGTTGTAAAGAGTTTGCTTTTTCTTTTCTTTGTGTGTAACAAGAGAGAATATAGGAAATTCCTGGCAGAAACCTAGAAGCCCAGTATATTGTGAAAAAGAAGACAAATATATATATATATATATATATATATCCAGAGATGGAATTCCTTTGGAACTTGGTGGTGAGTGAGATCTTCATACGAGAGAGATTTTTTTTATTATTATTTTTATTTTTATTTATTTTTATGTGCCGCCCTTCTCCGGAGTCTCAGGGCAGCTTACAATGCGTTAAGCAATAGCCTTCATACTTTTGTATATTTTATACAAAGTCAGCTTATTGCCCCCACAAACCGGGTCCTCATTTTACCCACCTTAGAAAGGATGGAAGGCTGAGTCGGCCTTGAGCCTGGTGAGAATTGAACTCGCAGTAATTGCAGGCAGCTGGATGTTAAATGCTGCCTTAGTAGGAGGCATTAGCCTCCTACGCCACTCAGGCTCAAGATGTTAATTTTTCTGAGATCCCTTTACTGTGTTCCAGAGTTTTTTTTTTAATAAAAGAATTGCTCTAATTTAATTCACTTTCCAAAAGAAGGAAAGGTAAATTCTGCTAAGGGTCAAACTCAGCGTCTGGTGATTTTGGGAGACATATCTGTTTAGTTTTTTGGCAGCACTTCTGGGAGAGGTTTGTAATTAGCTTTTACCTTTTTTTGATGTTTCATTCTAGTTTATAGCTTTTCCTGGTGGTCTCCCATCCATGTGCTACTATAATCAAGCTACTATAATTCATGCTAAACTCAAGCCAACCAACCATATTATGGCTTTATAACCTTAATTCTAATTTATTTTAATTTGTTTTGACCGACCCCCTCCGCTTTTCAAAGTGCAATTTGTAACTCAGTGTCCTGTGAACTGCACTAATTGAGGCTTATTTAAGGTTAAAATGAATCAGGGCTTATACCTAAACCCCAGCCAATAGGATTTGCAAACCGGGTCACAGATTATGCTCCCACATCAATATGTGATGGGAAATGGTGGTTTACAGCATTATGTCTCAACCGGAGCACTCTTAAGTTGGGTGGACTTCAACTCCCAGAATGTCTCAGCCAGCTGGGGGATTCTGGGAGTTGAAATCCACCCATCTTATTTATTTGTTTGTTTGTTTGTTTGTTTTATTTTTTTTATTTTAAATTTGATTTATATGCCGCCCTTCTCCAGAGACTCAGGGCGGCTTACAATGCGTTAAGCAATAGCCTTCATACTTTTGTATATTTATACAAAGTCAGCTTATTGCCCCCACAAACTGGGTCCTCAATTTACCTACCTTAGAAAGGATGGAAGGCTGAGTCAACCTTGAGCCTTGGCGAGATTCGATCTTACTTTAATTGCAGACAGCTGGTGTTAAATTACAGTGCTTCTGTCTGTTGAGCTAAACCAGGCTCATTTATTTATTTATTTATTTATTTATTTATTTATTTATTTATTTATTTATTTATTTGTCGCATTTCTGTGCCGCCCAACTCCCAAGGGACTCTTAAAGGGGCTGAGGTTGAGAAACAACGGTTTAGGGATTAAATCCACGATATCTCTGCCTACACAAACTTAAATCGAGACCAAAATTATTGTTGAATTTGAACTACAAACGAATCTTACAGGTGAATTTAGAATCAGGTTGTTTTACCTGCTATTGAAACGTTTACTGATATTTTATTGGAATCCATTTCGATGCTTTGATGATCAGATCATTAGAATCGGGATAACTTTCCCTGCCATTGAAACATAGATCGATAGTTGATTGGAATCCATTTTGTTGTCTTTCCTTTCTTGGATTAATCGGGGTTATTTCTTTCCCTGAATTTCTTACACAGACCGGGGTCAAAAAAGATGTAGAACATGTCTTTCAGAACGGAGACCTCCCAAAACTTGGCGATATGATCCAATTCCAGATGCTTGGATTTCAGCATTGGGGTATCTACGTAGGCGAGGAGGAAATTGTACATCTCGCCTGGCCGCGTAAGAGAAAAATATTTTATGATCTATTTCCTACAGATCATTGGTGGGCTGTTGCCGGTTCGGGCGAACCGGTAGTTACGACCTGCGGGTGGGCCTCAATTGTGGATATGCGAACCACGGGCCCCACCCACCTGCCCAGGCACAATCCCGTCCTATATCGCTGGGGGTTTTGCACATTGCATCAGGGGTGGGTTTTGAAATTTTTTTACTACAGGTTCTGTGGGCATGGCTTTGTGGGCGTGGCGAAGCTTTGTGGGTGTGACTTTGTGGGCGTGGCAGGGGAAGGATACTGCAAAATCTCCATTCCCACCCCAATCCAGGGGAAGGTTACTGTCAACTTGCAAAGCTTTCAAGTTGCCATGAGCAGGAGGGAGGGAGAACTGAAGTGAATTCCATACATTCTTCCTGACCGCAATCAGAAGGAGGGTGTTAGGTTTCACAGCCAGCCAAAGTGGTTAATTGGAGAATGTGATTTATGACATGGCCAGAGAGGAGGGGAGAGACAGGGTCATAGGGGAACATAAATCTACGTAGGATCAGTCCTAACTGCATCCGAGTATTGCCGGAATGTTGCTCCTAATAAATGACTATGTTTCCTTTGAAGTTTGGATCATGGCTCATGAATTAATTAGGGCATCTTTCGGAAACTTGACAGTTACTGCAAAATCCCCATTTCCTCCCGATCAGCTGGGACTTGGGAGGCAGAGAATAGATGGGGGTGGGGCCAGTCGGAATTTTTACTACCAGTTCTCCGAACTACTCAAAATTTCCGTTACCGGTTCTCCAGAACTGGTCAGAACCTGCTGATACCCACCTTTGCATTGCATGTATGAGTGGACAGCGCGCGCAAGTGAATTGCCGTGTTTTGTGATGCCGCACGCATGCACGGATGGTGCGTGTGTGAACGAAGTGAGCGTGCATGTACGAGCGCTCACATTTCCGGTGCTGGGCGAATCGGTTGTTACAGTATGTGACGCCTACGGATACACGTCCTACTTTCCCCCCTGGGAACTCAAGGTGGGCAACGTAAACAGAAGGATAAAATCAAGAGCACATGAAGTGTTAATACCACTTTACAATGCCTTGGTGAGGCCACACTTGGAATCCTGCATCCAGTTTTGGTCACCACGATGTAAGAAAGATGTGGAGACTCTAGAAAGAGTGCAGAGAAGAGCAACCAAGATGATTAGGGGACTCAAGGATAAAACATATGAAGAACGGTTGCAGGAACTGGGTATGTGTAGTTTAATGAAAAGGAGGACCAGGGGAGACATGATAGCAATCTTCCAATAGCTCAAGGGCTGCCCCAAAGAAGAGGGAGTCAAGCTATTCTCCAAAGCAGCTGAGGGCAGGACAAGAAGCAATGGGTGGAAACTAATCAAGGAGAGAAGCAACTTAGAACTAAGGAGAAATTTCCTAACAGTGAGAACAATTAATCAGTGGAACAACTTGCCTCCAGAAGTTGTGAATGCTCCAACACTGGAAGTTTTTAAGATGTTGGATGGACATTTGTCTGAAGTGGTGTAGGGTTTCCTGCCTAAACAGGGGGTTGGACTAGAAGACCTCCAAGGCCCCTTCCCACTCTGTTATTCTTATTCTAACATGGAAAACTTTAAGATAGATTCACCTGAGAAACCACCTCTAAGGTAGGTTCACCTGACAAAAAAAAGTGACCAGCCCAAATTACTTTCCTGAGTTTCGAGGTCCGTCACTATCTCCCAGGGCTTAATCACTGCGACATCTCCATTTTGTCGATTGTAAAAAAAGTCCATACTTTAAAAGAGGATGGAGGAGCTCCCTCCAAACATTGGAAAGAAATATGAAACCTCCTGAAATGTTCAGGGATGGTGAAATCTCTCGCGGTCGGAACAATGCAGCGTTCTTCGACTGGATCTCATGAGATCTCATAGAAGAACAGGGCGATGTTGGGTGATATTGGATGATCCGATGCATTTGGGACCAATTTTTTTTTTTACTTAAAAAAATAATATGGCACGCCATCGAATTTTCAGTGTAACAAGGCAAAGAGCATTCTTTTTCAGTACAGGTAGTCCTCGGCTTGTGACCACAACGGAGCCCAAAATTTCTGTCGTTAAACGGGTCATTTGTTCAGTGAGTTTTGGTCCATTTTACGACCTTTTTTTAACCTTGTTAAAAAGTGAAATTGGGCTTCCCCATTGACTTTGTCAGGAGGTCACAAAAGGTGACCCCGGGACACTGCAACGGTCATAAGTGTGAACCAATTGCCAAGTCTCTGAATTTTTGATCACGTGACTACGGGGATGCTGCAAAGGTCATAACTTTGAAAAACAGTCATAAGTCACTTTTTTTCAGTGCCGTTGTAACTTTGAATGGTCACTAAATGAACGGTTGTAAGTCGAGGAGTACCTGTACCGGCCATATATGACCTTTGACCAAAGTTTACTTGAGCAGACTTACATACTCTTGCTCAGAAAAAGATAAATTACAATTACAGTACCTCTGTGTAGGAAACTAAAGTTAGTTTGGAATTAGTCCTCAACTTACAACCACAACCGAGTCCAAAATTTCTGTCACTAAGTGAGACAGTTGCTACGTCAGTTCCTCTCCCCCCCCTTTCTTGCCCTGGTTGTTAAGTGAATCACCATCGTTGTTAAGCTAGCAACACGGTTGTTAAATGAATCGGGCTTCCTCATGGATTTTGCTTGTCAGAAGATCGCAAATGGGGATCACGTAACCCGGGGACCTTGCAACCGTCGTAAATGCGAGTTAGTGGCCAAGCGTCTGGATTTGGATCGCGTGGCCAGGGGGATACTCATGTCGTAACTGTGATAAGACTGGTCGCAAGACACTTTTTTTCAGCACCATTGCAACTTCAAATGGTCACTAAACAAAGTGTTGTAAATCAAGGACTTCCTGTACACTTGGGTCTCTGATATAGGGATGGGAATAAAAAATTTACAACAGTATTCATTACATTGATATTGATTCTCTAATCTTACAAAAATAATAATGAGCATAACACATCTATTCATTTCTCCCTCTTAACCTATCTTCTAATAAGAATATAATATTGAATATAATAATCTTAATAGTCATATTAGTAAAAATCATCATATTGTTTGCTTCTCTATCTTAACATGTTTTCTACATTTCACTGATCTCCATTTATTTCCAACTTCTGTTTTTATTTTCCTAACCATTCATAAAATAACTTCCATGTCCTAAAATATTCATTTTATTCTTTTTCCTTTATAGCAAGTGTTAATCTGTTCATTTCTGCACATTCTAATATTTTCCTAATCACCTTCCCATCAGTCGGGATTCTCTCCGCTTTTCCAGTTTTGTGCAAATACGATTCTAGCTGTGGGTAACATGTGTGTAGGAACAGAATCATTTCTGAAGGCCATCATCTCAACTTCTCTTTTCCCAGCTGTTGGAGTGATTAAGTTTAAAGTCCGGAAGGATAAAATCAAGGATGTCCCGGGAGTTCTGAAAACCGCCGTGTGGAACAAATACGATCAGAAATATCCTCCCTTGGATCCCGCTTGTGTAGTGAAAAGAGCTCGGAGTATGGAGAACAAGGTCCTCAGATTCAACTTCGTCAATGCAAACTGCGAACACTTCGCCACCTTGATGAGATACGACAAGGCGTTGTCTGACCAGGTAAGATCCACATGTTCTCCGATCGTTTTTTCATAGTTTGGACTTCTTTCCACTGCCCCCAGAAAACACAAGAATCAACCAGTAGTTTTTTTTTTAAATTTGATTTATATGCCACCCTTCTCCGGAGACTCAGGGTGGCTTACAATGCGTTAAGCAATAGCCTTCATCCTTTTGTATATTTATACAAAGTCAGCTTATTGCCCCCACAAACTGGGTCCTCAATTTACCTACCTTAGAAAGGATGGAAGGCTGAGTCAACCTTGAGCCTGGTAAGATTCGAACTTGCAGTAATTGCAGGCAGCTGGTGTTAATCACAGTGCTATCAGTCTGCTGAGCCACCTCTTGGGGGCTTTGGTTTCTCATTTGGATTAACGTATTTTTTGGAGTATAAGAGGCACCGGAGTATAAGACGCACCTTAGTTTTTGGGGTGGAAAATAAGAAAAAAGCTGATTGGCAGGTGGATCGGCCTCCTGGAATACCCCCAATCAGCTGTTCCCAGAGGTGAATTTTAGCAACAGGTTCCTTGGTTGTGAGCTCTGTGCCTTGCTATTTTTTTCTGCCTCTGAAATTTCTTTTTTTCCTGCCTCTGAAAGCCTCCGAAACAGAGCTTCAGAAAAAAAGCCTTTGAAGCTCTGTTTGGAGGCTTCTTTTCTGAAGCTCTGTTTGGAGGCTTCTTTTCTGAAGCTCTGTTTGGGGGCTTTTTTTCTGAAGCTTCGTTTCCGATGCTTTTTTCATTGAAACCTCCATTTGAGAAGCTGGGTGGGGCTACATTCGGAGTATAAGACACACCCAGATTTTCACCCTCTTTTTTGGGGGAAAAAGGTGCATCTTATACGAAAAATACGGTATATTTATAATTTCCAACGGAATTCACGAATCCAGCTCGGTGGCATCGGATTTTGGCTGATTAAATAAAGAATTTTTTTTTTTTTTACAAAACCCTAGGGAGCTTTTTCCTTGTTTTTTGTTTGGGAGAGGTTTTGCTTCTCATCCAAGAAGCTTCTTCGGCTTCGACTGGATGGATGGGGAAGGGAAGGATTTATATTCCTTGCAGACAGCTGGTCATTTGCATCCTTTTAGAGGGTCGTTGAAGCATTTGGAGGTTTATCTGTGTCCTCAGGGTCACCTGAGTAGTGCAAATGTTTCCAATTCTGCAATTCTTTCCCCTCTCTGGAAATCCATTCCTACTCCCACACCGTTCAAAGGATCTTCATCCCAAATTGTATAGCTAAAAGTCTGTAGGGATTCTCCATCCTCCAGGTCCTTGTTGTCCCAAAGCTGCAAGGAATATAAATCCTTCCCTTCTCCGCTATCCTGTCAGAGCTGAAGAAGCTTCTTGGATGAGAAGCGAAACATCTTCAAAAGGAAAAAAACAAGGAAGTCCAGTGGCTTCCTGGAAAAGCACTTTTGGGACAACCAGGACCTGGATGACGGAGAATCTCTACAGACTTTAAAACCCTAAGGAGATATTCTAATAAGTGGTTCGGATAGATCGCAAGGAAATCTAAGTCTTAGCATCCCAGGAAAAAAAAACAAAAAACCTTACATTGTCCATGTCCATGAAGTCTTCTGAAGTTGAGATGAACTCGAAGGCTTTTTGATGTGATCCATAACTGGATTTACAGCCATGTCCTGTTACGTTCTCCTTCTTGTCCCTCTGGATGTTTTGAGTGGCTTCTACCAATGTGGTGTTCTCCAGATGTGCTGGTGCAACTCCCATCATCCTCAGCCTAAAGTAATTCCAGAGGACACCAAGTTGAGAAGTGCTGACCTTCCGTTTCCTTCTTAAGAAAGTTGTACTTTACCGGTGGCCAATTTATAGGAAATCACTTATCGTTCACGCGATAGCCTGGTTTATATGCCATGTGAAACCTACTTGCAGGAGTTGACCAAATCTTGTATTTATTATTATTACTTACTTACTTCATTCATTAAACATGAAACTCAGTCAACTGAACATTCAAAATGCATCACAAATACCATTGACTGGTGCTAATGGTTGATACAGGTATTATTATTATTTTTTAATATTAAACATGAAAATTCAATGTCTGTATAAACAGTGTGTTGTCTAATACAGTGGTTTTTAAGAAATAGTAATCATCATCATCATCATCATCACATTAATGATAATCACATTTATTTTTATTTTTTATTTATTTTATTAAATTTCAATACCGCCCTTCTCCCGAAGGACTCAGGGCGGTGAACAGCCACAAGATAAAACACATAAATACAAAAATTTAAAATAAATTAAAAACGAATTAAATAATTTGGCTGAATTTAAAATACCCCATAATTTAAAACAAATTAAAATTTACATTTAAAAAGGGGAGAAGATTTAGGCCAGGCCAGTTTGATGAAATAAAAAAGTCTTAAGCCTTAAGCCTATTTGCTTAAAACATATTTGCTTATCCATTTTAATAAATCTTCCATGTAGTTAATCATTTCCTTATGCTTTTAAATTTCTAACTTCTGTTTCTGCTAGTTAGCCATTGATAAAACAAATCCCATGTTAAAAAGTATACAGTTTCTTCCTTCTCCTTAATTCCGAGTGTTAGTCTATCCATTTCCGCACATTCTAATATTTGTTTTAATAACATTTTCATCTGTAGGGATCTCTTCATTTTTCCTTTGTTGTGCAAACACAATTCTAGCTGCAGTCAACACATGTAAAATTAAATATGTATTTCCTTTATTATGTTTTTCTGGTAGAATACCCAACAAAAATATTTCTGGCTTTAGATCTATGTGTTGCTTTGCTATTTTTTCCCAACCACATGTGTATTTTTGTCAGAGTTGACAAAATCTTTTAACTGCAGTTTGTAATCAAGGTTTGGGAAAAGTTGGCTTAATGTAACCTTTGTCTTCTCTTTTCTGAAACTCCAGATAACAAAGGCTGGAAATGTCCTATCAACAGTGACAAATAGGAAGAGGATTCAGCCACAACTATTCGGTTCACACATGACACCAAGGCAAAATTTTAAATTAAATCAGGGTTTTCTTTGAAATTCTGATGACCATTCAGGCAGAACCCAAGTGGGCCCTTGTTTCAAATCTTGCTCGATTTGACTTTTCCGGTGACTTTTTAAGCTCTCGAGTTAAAACAGCACCCAAAAAGTAAAAAGCTCTTATTAACCCTCTTTTTAAAAAGTGTAAATAGTCATTACAACCAAAATGGTTTTTAACTAGGACTGGGGGGGAGAGGGATTAAAAACGTTACCTCATTGAATGTTTAGAATTAAATGTTTTGACCGAACATGGCGGATGCCTGACAAATTTCTCTCCCTTTTTTTCTTTTAAAGGCAAAAAGATTTTACTTTACTGTAGATCAGGATTTCGTGCAGGAGATCAGAAGATACTTAGCTGAGGCCGACTGTGGATGGAAGTGTGGTGAACGCTTCCAGAGAATGATTCCTTGAGCCTCACTTCATGTGGATTAAATCTTGGTTTATGGGATAAAATGAAACCGGAGTTTTTCAAACCGAGTCGCTCAAAAGTATATCTTGTATGCTTTGACAAAAATAAGGAGAGAATTGGGGAACTTAGATTTTGTTTAGGTTGGCGGTTCTCAAACTTGGCAACTTTTGACACACCTGAACTTAAAAATCCCAGTCTTAAAAAGTGCTTCCCCGCCCCCCCCCCCCAAGAGCAACTGGACTTTCTGGGATTTTTTTGAAGACGTTTCACTTCTCCTCCAAGAAGCTTCTTCAGCTCTGTTGTGTGAGTTGCGCCTTTTTTTTATAAATTCCGTGACTTTTCCAATACTTCAGTGGGCAGGTAGACGGGATTTCCGCCCTTGGAAATTTGTGTTCCGTTCTCTCTTTCAAAACCTGCATTGTGAAATTAATCTGTTTTATTCTTTCATTTGAGAAGTCGGAGCTGTGCTTTCTGCAGGATGCTGAAGAAGCTTCTTGGACGAGAAGCGAAACGTTTTCAAAAAAAACCCCCAAAAAAGTCCAGTTGCCTCTTGGGGAAAAAAAAAAGCATTTTTGGAACAACCAGGACCTGGATGACTGAGAATCTCCAGAGACATTTTAAAATCCCAACATTTCCAAGCCAGCTCAATACATTGAACTACATGGCTTGGATTGGTATGACCTGCTAAAATATAGGTGTTAATCTTAAAAAGTTGAAAGGAATCAGATCTGCTTAGGACTTGGATAGGAGCCCACTAGTATTGCATAAGTAGCAGGCCAAAACAATTAGATACAAGGAGAGTATTTTTCCCCCAGGCCATTACTCTGCTAAACAACTAATTCCCACATTGCCAAACTACGTACTAATGCTATATTGCCATTATCCTTCTCATCTTTCCTATTACCTAATTCCTTAGCCTCTTTGTATTTTATTATTTATGTTGATGGCTTATTTAGTATCCTGTGGCGATCATCAAGCGTTGTATCTTATGATTTAGGATGATTGTATCTTACCGATTATGATCATCATTTATCGCTTGTTGCTTGTATGTACACTGAGAGTTTATGCACCGGAGACAAATTCCTTGTGTGTCCAATCACACTTGGCCAATAAAGAATTCCTTTCTATTCTTTGTGTCGTTGTCAAGAAAACAACCTGCATACTCTTAAGAGAGATTTGAATTTCACTTCATGATTCGGTGTCGTGCAGACAAGAGTTCAGATAAATTACCCCAATACAGAGTTAAATTATATTTATTCTACCCTGTTTCCCCCAAAATAAGATATCCCCTGATAATAAGCCCAATCGGGCTTTTGAGCGCATGGCAATAAGGCCAAGCGCTTATTTCAGGGTTCAAAAAAAAAAATAAGACAGGGTCTTATTTTCGGGGAAACACGGTATCTATATTCATCTTGTATGAAGTCTCTTTTCCTTTATTTTCAGCCATAGAAAAAGACTTTCTTATGTAGCTGTGGTTAATGTAGCTTTCATTTGCTTAGCCTAATTTTTGTTGAATTCATAAAACACATTGACTCATACACTTAATGACCTAGGTTGATAATAGAACATATTAACAAAAATGTAATTGGTTAACTTGTTCTTCAATATTCTATATGAATACGCTTTGAGAGATTAAATCAATAGTTTTAAAGGGCTGAGGGTTTTTTTTTCCTGTCTGACTCTACTGTTTTCATCGCAGTTTCTTTAAGCAACTGGTTAGTAAGCAGATCCTTAAGACAGATCAATTCATCTGATGTTTAATACCCTTTCATTTGTTCCTTTTCATAAATCAAAGAAGTAGAAATAAGACATCTGGAAAAAGATTTGATTTCTATAAAGCAACTCCAAATTCAACTGAAATACCCTTTTGTTAGGCATTCCTCTGTGTTAAATAGAACTTTAAAAAATGTGATTAGTCAATGCAACACCAAACCTTTATTCACGTAAACCCAATACTACAAAAGACAGTGTTTCTAACAGTAGTTGGTTCGTTCCATATTTCAGCTTCCGTTGTCTTGAGTCAATGAATTTAACTAGTTATATGCTGTGTGGAAATTTCTCCAAAAAGTTTTCACTCACGGCCCAAAGCAGACCATACTAGCAATCACAATACATCATTACATTACATTACATTACATCATCACAAAATCATTACATTTCTAAGTGAAACTGTATACAAATTTGACAGTGCTCCAACGTTTTCCGGAATGTTTTCTCTCCCTTCTACGGAACTTCCGGATAATGTACAGGTATCTTCAGTGAGAAACAAACCTCCAAACAAACATCTCCACCCCTTGCAAATTTACTGTAAGATATCGTATCATTGTTGGCACGAAGACGCAAGGAGATCTTTGCAGGAGGCCAAGGATTCCAGATCACTATAAAGCCAATCGAAGTATCAGGCTTGGATGTAACGGTTACATGGATCCAAAATGCCTAGAAATCTTTTCAGGCTGGCGTAGTACCACAGAAAAAGGCATGGCTTAAGTGTTGCATCCGGTAAGCAGAGTCGAGTCTCATAAATAGTTCTGGGGATGAAGGCACCGGAGTCGTTTTTCCATGCTCGTTTCTCTTCATTATGCACCAAAATCACATCTGTGGAGCCTGCGTCATAGCCGAGCTTTGCCGTAGGCCAATTATTCCGGGAGAGGTTGGCTACGGGTGCCACTCCGAGTCTTTAATTGGGACTGGGCGATGTCAGCTAAGGCACTCTGTATTTTTTCCAAGAGCAGATCTCCCCGATAGACTACTTCTTCGAGACGGGCGGCTGCCTCGTGGTTCTCTTCCTCCAAACGATACAAATTGGCAGCCTACGGGTTCAAAAGCGGACGGGACAAAAACTTTTGGGTGAAAACTTTTAAAACTGCACTGGGTGGTTTTTTTTCTTCAAAGGGGAAAAAAAAAAAAGGAAACAGTTATTCCTTCCTACTTTTCCTGCATGTAACCTTTGGATGATGTAATACTTTGTAACACCTCATGTTTACATAATTCAGAATGAGACAAAATGTTTGTTCTTCAGGTTTTTTTAAAGCTTCTGTAATTTTGTTTGAACACTTTGCATGTTTATATAATTCAGGAGACAAAGTGTATTTAAGTACGTCCTGTAGGGTTTCTGAAGCTCTTGAATTAGTAACCGTTTTTGTTTTTAAACTCAACTCATCTAATTGATGTTTTCTTAATCATGGATCCTACCTGCTGATTAGCTTGGGAGTTCATTTGTTCTTTTTTGCTTAATGCTACAATCTTTTTTAGTTTTTTTAGTTTTATTAGTTTAACGTTCACAGAAAGGTGGAATAGAAGTATTTTCAGTTAAATGTTGCAATAAACTCACGAGTTTACTTTAGATTTAAAACAACAGAAGGTTAGCTAAATATCGGGATTGAGGCAATTTTACAAGATATTGCAATCCACCTTCAAAAACCAAAAACTGTTCTGCAGAGAGCTGAGATGCTGGCAAAATATTTACTTCCTGTTTATCTTTTCCTTAGCAGTAACGAGATAAATATTTTCACGATTCTAAATTTTGGAAGCAAGCATCTAAATTTAATATAACGTTGCAGCATAAATGTGTAGTTGAACGCCTCATCTAAATCCAGTGGCATTTAGTGCATATATATGATTGTCTGAAAAGTGGTACCTAGTGTGTACAATGATGACATTACCAAAAGTGAAATTTTACTGAAATTGATAACATTTTACACCATTTATGTTGTACGTTACATATTTGCTTTTGGCATTCAACTATCTAGTATATTAGCTAAGTAAAGTCATAATAGGCTGCACTGAAACTAATCAGCGTTGTAATTTTCTGAACAAAATATTGGCCCAGTCTTAAGTTTGTACAAATTTTTGTTCATCTTTAACACAATTTTTTATGTTCAATTTTTATCGTAGCATTTATTCTCTCTAGTTTTAAGAAGCCAATGTTACCCTTCATCTTAACTTCTAATCCTGATATAATTCAATTTTTCTTTCCCTCCCTAAAATTTGAACCCCTAAGCTTAAATTCACACGACATAGTACAATCCCCAATTATTTCCTTAAATTTTCTGACTGGGATGAATATAGTAGTACGCAGTGTAGGAATGGTAAATTCTCACCTGTAATGTAGCTGTGGACTCTTCACTTGGCAAGGAATCTATTAAAACATCGATATCTTTAGCTGTTCTTGCAATTAATGCAGCAAAGAGCTGGGCGTATTCTATAAAAGCAGTAAAAAAATGAGTAATAATTTGCATCGCATGTATCATTCTTGATGAATGAAAACTATGTTGTTCAGTCATATTTTAGAATAAATGTGCTTCTAATATTACACAGAAATGGTCAGTTTAGGAGGCATTTGCTGTATATTCCACCCCCCTAAAATATTTGGAGTGTAGAAGGAATTTCACATCTCTGAATCATTTACAGAAAAAAAATCATAAAGGTACAAACATCTTTATTATACGTTTATTATTATTATTTAAAGGTACGTGCTGCCTAACTCCCAACAACTCTGGACAATTGAGTTGTGTGCTTCAAAACACAATTTGGATGTGGTGAGTAGGGCCACATAGCACTTCTAAGCACGGCAAAATTTGGGGGAGAAAACTAACATGTGCTTGTAACACACTTGCCTACATTCTGTGTGCATATATCACACTCCAAAAACAGAGCAAGGCCAAGGCAATAACACTGGATTCCTACGGGCAGGTATATCATTTCTTCTCTCTGCCCCAAACAGTTAGAAATATACAGGCAGTCCTTGACTTACGACCACAATCGAGTCCCAAATTTTTGTTGCTAAATGAAACATGTGTTAAGTGAATTTTGCCCTGTTTTGTGACCCTTCGCGCCACAGTGGTTAAGTGAATCCCTATGGTTAAGTGAATGTAGTTTCACTGACTTTGTCAAAAGGTCGCAAAAGGGGATCACACAACCCCGGGGCACTGCCACCGTCATAAATATGAGTCAGTTGCCAAGCATCCGAATTTTGATCACGTGACCACGGGGATGCTGCAACGGTCGTAAGTGTGAAAAACGGTCACAAGTCACCTTTTTCCAGTGCCGTTGTTAACTTTGGTCACTAAATGAGCTGTTGTAAATCGGGGATTACCTGTACATTCCTCGATCGCTTTCCAGCAAAAACGAAAGAAGAGGCAATAAGGTAAGAGGAAGGGAAAGAAAGAATAAAAACGGAGGGGAAGTACTGTATTTTTCGGACTATAAGACGCACCTAAATTTACAGGAGGAAAACAAGAACGAAAAAAAAAAAGATTTTTGGCCTCTGCGTGTTGCGTTTTCGCCCTTCCCGGCCCCCAGAAACACTCTGCAGTGCTCTGCATGGCACGTTTTCGCCAAAAAATGGGCCATGCAGAGCACTGCAGAGTGCTTCTGGGGGCTGGAGAGGGCAAAAATGCAATGCATGGAGGCCAAAAACACCCGTATTCGGTCTATAAGATGCACCTAAATTTTCACCCACTTTGTTTTGGGGGGGAAAGGTGTGTCTCATACCCCGAAAAATATGATTATTTATTTATTTATTTATTTATTTATTTATTTGTTCAATTTATATGCCGCCCTTCTCCGGAGACTCAGGGCGGCTTACAATGCGTTAAGCAATAGCCTTCATACTTTTGTGTATACCTGCTTAGTAGGGCTTTTGGGGCCCTCCCAAGCTGTGTTCTTTTTTATACAAAGTCATCTTATTGCCCCCACAATCCGGGTCCTCATTTTACCCACCTCGGAAGGATGGAAGGCTGAGTCAACCTTGAGCCTGGTGAGATTTGAACTCGCAGTAATTGCAGGCAGCTGGCAGCTAAGTGCTATTTAACAGCGCTTTAGTCTGCTGCACCACCAAGGCTCTTTGACAGGCAAAGAAGAAAAGGAATCTGAAGGGGGGAGAAATGCCTCTTTTTCAAACAGCAACTAAACATGATGAAAACCTTCGAAGGAAACCTCATTCACGGCATCTCCATCTCCACATTGTGGTTCAGCTGAGGTCACCACCCCCACGGACAGATAATCCTTGGGGTATAACGGAAGAGACAAAGAATACGTTCGACTTGCCTTCGGTGGGATTAGCAGGTTGGTCTTTGTTGATCGCGGTCTGTATGTTGCTGAAGGATGCAGGAGGCGCGCATTGCTGCAACACCCCGATGGCATTGCAGAACTGATCTGCAAGCTGTAAACAAATGTTAACGTATCAAATAAAGGAGAATATTTGCAGCTCAGGGTTGACCTGAGGGGCCCTTGGGGCTCTCTGAGCTTGGTTGTTTACCTGTTTCATGATCTTAAGTATTATCAGTGCTAGAAGGGAGTGGGGGGGAGGAGGAGGAGGAAGAAGAGGAGGAAGAAAAGGAGGGGGACTGTGTGGTCCTTGGTGTTCTCTGAGCTTGGTGGCTTTCCTTGCAGACATTTCAAGTTCAAAGCATTTATTGCCATTGTACATCACGTATACAACGAAATTGGCTGAAATTCATGACCCAAACTAGGTAATATCATCAGTGCTATGTAGGAAGTTAGCACCCACCCCTTTCCTAGAAGAATGAAATATTTTAGGAAATATTAAAAAGGCAGAATATTATGTTTCCCTGGATGAGAAATGTAGAAACATGTTTTAAAGACAAAGTAACTCCCACCTTCCTGCCTCCCCCCCCCACTTTGTTAATGGGCCAGAGGCAGAAACTCAATCTTTGTCAATGGACCTTCATCTGCAACACAATAGGACCCATCTAGGACAGAAATTCACCACATGGCACCTGGGAAGATTACATCAGCCAGCAAAGCTAGCTAAGACCCCTACCCCCTAGCTGACCTCCAAAGGCCCCTCCCAATTGTTATTCCTCATTCTGAGCAGGGGGTGGACTAGATGACCTTCAAAGGCCCCTTCCAACTGTTATTCTGTATTCTGAGCAGGAGGTTGGACTAGATGACCTCCAAGGTCCCTTCCAACTCTTATTCCTCATCTGAGCAGGGGGTGGACTAGCTGACCTCCAAAGACCCCTTCCAATTGTTATTATTCTGCGTTCTGAGCAGGGGGGTTGGACTAGCTGACCTCCAAAGACCCCTTCCAATTGTTATTATTCTGCGTTCTGAGCAGGGGGGTTGGACTAGCTGACCTCCAAAGGACCCTCCCAATTGTTATTCCTCATTCTGAGCAGGGGGGTCTGGACTAGATGACCTCCAAAGACCCCTTCCAACTCTTGTTGTTCTGTGATGACGGAATAACCTCCAAATTCCATCCAGAAGCGGGAGAAAAGCAGAGGCCTATTTTGCTCCTTAACCTTCCCAGGGAATAAAAGGGCTGGAGGAGGGGAGCCTCTACCCAGAATCCCCCCAGCCCCCCTCCCCCCCCAAAAAGCCAAAGGATTCTGGGACTTGTAGTCCACACACCCCAAAGGCCCAGCCCGAAGCAGGGTCGGGGCTCGCCTTCAGGCCCCCAACGGGGCTCCCACTCACCGAATTCACCGCATCCTGCAGCTGCGTTAGGCGGTCCGCCATTTTTTTTCCCCCCGAAAATTTCGGAGGGAGAGCGACCAGCCAATGGGAACGTTTTATATTGGATGCGGAAGCGGGTGGGGAACGCTGCTAGGCAACGCTTCATCGTTTCCTCTCTGGGGCGGCTCGTTTCCGGGATAAATATCGCCGTCATCAATGCCGCTCTTGCCCTATCTCTATGGTAGAGGGTGGTGCTCCACCGGCGGACGGGAGGAGGTATTGCTGTTCTCTATAAGAGTTTTAACTGTAGTTAGTACATTACTGTATATAAAGTAATCTTCATGCAAATTTATTTTTTTTTTAAAAAAAATCCCAATATGTGTTCCTGGGATTTACTCTTTTGAGGAAATATGGATGAAATTCTGCATTTTGTTTATTTTTAATTGTAAGTAAGTAAAGAGCTTATTGAGCTAAATCTCCAGACCATTTTAATTATTTGTCATTTATGTTTATAAAGGCTGCTCCAATCAGCAGATTGTCTGGGCAGTAGCACAATATTTTTATTTTGTTTAAAGAGAAATTATTATCAAACTTAATTTATTTCTAATCCCGGTAACCTGGATGACTGACAACTTTGAGCATAGATAATTCTTTTTAATTCTGATAGGAAAAACTTTCACCTGCTGAATTTTGGATGTAGAAAACTGGAAGTTCTGCAAAGATTCCTCTTGGGAGAAATAATTATCAATGAAAAGCTTTGCATAATTATTTGCTTGTAATCACCCTCTGGCGGTATGTGATTTATTTCGGAGAAAGCGCATTGACTCAGATTGGGAGATAAACCTTATTTAGCTCAGTGGAAAATATTTCCGGTTCAGTCAACAGACAGGCCTGGAAAAGGTGTTGTAACCACAAGCCATCATTTAGTACATACACTTGTAGATTATCTAAATGAAAGTTTATCGAGGAGCTGGGAATTCTGGGAAGTGAAATGCACACATCTTAAAAGTTGCAAGAGACAAACTTCAGCCTAATTCAGCCCCAACCTTTAAAACCTAAGGAGCTTCAGCTCACAGTTGCAAATAGAAATAAAGGATATTCTTGAAGTTAGAATGAAAAGAGAGACATTTTCACAAATCTTTAGACCAACTCAAAATGTCAGATCAAGTTTTTGTTCTGTGTTTTTTTTTTTTAAATGGATGCTGAATTTCTGGGTGTGAAAAGTACAGAATCTTATCTTTTAGCTCCGAAACCAAATGGCTGCATTTATAAAAGGGCTTCTACCTGACTCGTTTTAAGGTTTTTCCTTCTTCCTCTTCTTCATGGCTGCAGATTACAAGCATTGGGTTCAAAAATATCGGCCTTGTGAACTAATCCAGAACCCCAAGATTAGATTTTGTGGTGGTGTAATTGGATCTTTTCAGTTAGAAGAACTTCTTCAAATTCAGCCTACAAGCCAACTACTACAGCTAATGTTGGTGGTCTTCTCCTCCTCCTGTTTATCTTCTCCTCCATTTCTTTTTTTGGTTTATCTTCTTTTACTCTTTCTCCTTCTCTTGTTTATCATCTCCTTCTCCTTCTTTTCTTTCTCCAGTTTATCTACTCCTTCTCTTTCTCTTCCTCCTGTTTATCTTCTTTTTTCCCTATTTCTCTTCTCCTTCTCTTTATCTTTTCCTCCTACTTCTCCTTCTCCTGTTTAATGTCTTTTTTCTTTCTCCAGCTTACCTATTTCTTCTCTTTCTCCTCTTTATCTTCTCCTTCTTTCCTCTTTCTCTTCTCCTCCTCTTCTCCTATTTATCTTTCTCTTGGTCCCATTTAACTTCTTTTCTTTCTCCAGCTTACCTATTCCTTCTCTTTCTTCTTCTCCAGTTTAATTTCTTGTTTCCTCTTCCTCTTCTCCTCCTCCTCTTCTATTTATCTTTCTCCTTGTCCCGTTTAACTTCTTTTCTTTCTCCAGTTTATCTATTCCTTCTCTTTCTTCTTCTCCAGTTTAAATTCTTTTTTCCTCTTCCTCTTCTCCTATTTATCTTCCTCCTTGTCCTGTTTAACTTTTCTTTCTCCAGCTTACCCACTCCTTCCCTTACTCCTTCTCCGGTTTAATTTCTCCTTTTTTATCTTCTCCTTCTCCTCTTCCCCTATTTATCTTTCTCCTTGTCCTGTTTGACTTCTTTTCTTTCTCCAGCTTACCTATTCCTTCTCTTTCTCCTGCTTATTTATTCCTTCTTTCCTCTTTATCTTCTCTTTCTCCTCTTCCCCTCTTTAACTTTCTCCTCGTTTAACTTTTCTTTCTCCAGCTTATCTATTCTTCTCTTTCTTCTGCTGATCTTCTCCTTCTTCCCTCTTTATCTTCTCCTTCTCTTCTCCTCTTTCTCCTTGTCCCCTTTAACTTCTTTCCTTTCTCCAGCTTACCCACTCCTTCCCTTTCTCCTTCTCCAGTTTTCATTTCTCCTTTCCCCCCACTCTCCTCTCCATCTTCTCCTTCCCCTCTTCTCTTTGTCTTTCTCCTCCTCGGTTTCAATCTCTTCCTTCTTCCCACCGCGCAAGCAACGCTGGCAGACATTCAGCCTCCCGGGGCTCCACGGAGGGAGACCCTCCATCCTCCCACGGCAAACCCCCAACCCCCCCCCAAAAAACCCCTTCTTACTCCTCGAAATCCCCCCGGGGAACTGCAGAAACCACCCGGGGAGGGCGAGAGGAGGAACTGGCTGCGCCTCGTCCGTCCCCTGCGCGCAAAGCCCGGAAAAACAGCGGCAGCAGCCTCGGCCACGCGCGTGGGCGTCCCCAGCCGTGCTTGGCAAGGGTTGCGCGGCGTCTGGGCTGGGCTAGCGGACCAGTCCCGGGATCTCCACGCGCGGGGAGGGCTGCGGGTGGCCCTCCCTGCTTGGTTTCCGCGGAGAAACGGCTGGGGCTTTTGGGCATCATGCTTCTGCCCGGTTGGATCCTGCTCTGGGCGCTGCTGGGCGCGGGAGAAGGGGCGGAGGAGCCCCCCGCAGGTGAGACCAGCCGGGCCTTACGCCCCCACCCCTCGGGAAAAAAGGGGGTCTCTTGGGGGAGCTGAGTGGGAAAGCCAGAGCCGGGTATGGCCCCTGCGTAAAAGCGCAGCGCTGCTCTCCGGACCAAGCCCTGTGCTCGTTGCGCGCAGGGGCGCCTCGGCTTTTTGAGGGGGGGGTCCCCCTCCCCACAAAATCCCTTGGGGAAGGGTCCCTTCCTAGAGGAAGGGGTTTGCCTTTGCAAAAAGCGGCTCGGGTTCTGATTTCACTTCCCCGAATTTGTGGGGTAAAGGTGAGGGGATCAAAAGAAGGGGGGATCTCCGGGGAACCCTTGGAACGCTCCCCTTCTCTCCCCCACCCCGCAAAAAAGGGAGGGCCTGCAAAAAAAGCCAAGCTTTGCAACAAGGAGGTGTCGTTTTTCCGGTGCCAACAAAAAAATTCCTTGTTTTGTAGATTATGCAACAGGTCTCGAAGGGAGTACAAAGAGCCGGCTTGGGGGGGGGAAATAAATAAATAAACTGAAGTCGGTGCTTGGATAATAAGTAACGTTTATGTGTCTGATCTGGTGTGCTTTTTTTTTTTTTTTTTGGTACCAATAAAGGAGAATGTTTGTAGTTCAGGGTTGAAATGAAAGGTCCTTGGTGGCCTCTGAGCTTGGGGGTTTTCTTGCAGACGTTTCATGACCCAACTAGGTAACAATATCAGTGCTAGAGGGAGGAGGGGGTTTGCTTAGAGAATTGAACTGTCGAGTCCTTGGTGCTCCCTGAGCTTGGCTGTTTTCTTGCGGGCATTTCGTGACCCAACTAGGTAACCTCATCAGTGCTGGAGGATAAGGTAGGGGAGATAAATAAGATCCTCACTTGCTCAGAAATTTGAACTGTGTGTGTGTGGGGTCCTTTGTGCTCTCTGAGCTGGATGCTTTTCCTGCAGACGTTTCATGACCCAACTAGGTAACCTCATCAGTGATAGAAGGGAGGTGTGTGTGTGTGTGTGTGTGTGTGTGTGGTGAGGAGAAGGAGAAAGATGTGACTTTGGGGTTCCTGGGGCTCCCTGAGCTTGATTGTTTTCCTGCAGATGTTTCATGACCCAACTTGATAACATCCAGGGGTGGGTTTCACTTACCTTTGTTACCAGTTCGTGCTTGCTTACTCGCTTCGCTTGTGCACCCACCACTTCTGCGCATGCGCAGAGTGTATTTGATGACATCTGGGTGGGTAGGTGCAGCCTTCCGCCGCCGCCACTACCAGTTCGCCAAAACCGGGGCGAACCGGTAGCAACCCACCACTGGTAACATCATCAGTGCTGGAAGGGAGGAAGAGGAGGACTGCGGGGTCCTCGATTCTCTCTGAGCCTTCTTGTTTACTTGCTTTCTTGTGGCCGTTTCATTACCTAACTAGGTAACATCATCAGTGTTAGAAGGGAGGAGGAGGAGGATTGTAGGGTCCTTGGCACTCTCTGAGCTTGGCTGTTTTTTTGCAGATATTTCATTACCCAACTAGGTAACATCATCAGTGCTAGAAGGGAGGAGGAGGGGGAGGAGGACTTTGGGGTTCCTTGGGGCTCTCTTGAGCTTGGTTGTTTTCCTGCAGACGTTTTGTGACCCAACTAGGTAACATCATCAGTGTCAATAACGAAATGTCTGCAAGAAAAAAACCAAGGAGCCCTTGTAGTTTTTTTTTTTTTTTCTGCTTTTCAACTTGACGCCTTCAATTTTAGGAGAGAAAATGTAGAAGAGCAGACATCAAAGAAGCATGTGAGTTGACACGTGGGCTTAGTCACGCTTTGAATCTACCCGCCTGGGCTTAAGGAGGATCTGTTCCAGGGATAGTGTGATTTAAGTGGGAATCCAATTCAATTAATTTAATTTAATGTTGTGGGTTGGCAAAGGAGGCCCAGCTAGCTAATATTCCAGACTTGAAACATGCTTGGCTAGTGTGTGGTTCGGAGAGTCTTGCAAAAGGAGCGTAGAAGCGAAAACATGCTGTGACTAGACTTAAACATTCCATCGTTCCTGATAACAGGGAGTCCTTGAATTGCAATAGTTCGTTTAGTGACAGTTACAACAGCACTGGAAAAAAAGTGATTTATGACCGTTTTACACACTTAACGACCGTTGGAACATCACCATGGTCTGGTGATCAAAATTCGGACATTTGCCAACGGGCTCATATTTATGACCGTCAAGCAAAGTCATTGGGGAAACCAGATTCACTTAACAACCATGTTACTCGCTTACCAACTGCAGCGGTTACTTAACAAGTATGTCAAAGAAGGTCGTAAAATGGGGCAAAACTCACTTAACAAATATCTCCCTTAACAACAGAAATTTTGGGCTCCATTTTGATCATAAGGATTACCTGTATTCCCATTTCTATTCCTATTCTAGCCGTATTTTTCCCCCTGCCTCTCCATCCTGCTTAGTTCATGTCAGGTGCAAGAAGTCAGGAATCAGGATAGAGCTCAAAAGTACTACAAGTTTATTTTATGCTCTCTATGCCCAAGTAGTACTAACTGAAGTACTAACGTTGGAGGAGAATTGGCGTCAGATAAGAATCAACAAACTTTAAGGGCAACTGGACTTAAAAGTCTCTTAGATAAAGATTCCAAACTAATGATGCCTTTGACTCCGCCTTCAGTCTAAGCCTGGGACTCACTCAACAACCAGGTTACTATCTTATCAACCGCAGTGATTGATTGAACCAGTGGTGAAATGTAAAATTTGTTACTACCGGTTCTGTGGGCGTGGCTTGGTGGGGGGGGTAATGTGACTGGATGGGCGTGGCCAACATTATTATTTTTTTACTTTTAAAAGCATTTTTTCTACAACCTCTTCGGCCAAAGAGGTTGTAGAAAAAAATGCTTTTAAAAGCCTCTGACGATCCCAACTGAGTTGCCTGATCATCAGAAGCTTTTTTTTTTAACTTTTAAAAACATTTTTTTGGCCGAAGAGGTTGTAGAAAAAATGCTTTTAAAAATTAAAAAAAAAGCCTCTGATGATTGCGTGGCTCAGCTGGGCATGGGGGGGAGCAGGGATTTTTGCTACCGGTTCTCCGAACCACCATCAGGTGATCCAGTCTGAACCGGGAGCATTTCACCCCTGGATTGAACCCTAACAACTGCATGGAGAAAAGTCATTAAAAAGGAGCAAAGCTCACTTCACACGAATTCTTACATCACAAGAAGCACGTCGTGCGCCATTGTGCTCGTAAGTTCGAGGACTACCCGTAGAGCAGAGTGGAGGACAAAATAAAACTTTCTGCTACAAGATGGAAGCAGAAAAACTTGTGTTGGGTGTGTCATTGTTAAGACGACAAAGCCCCGATGGCTAAAAAATAATAATAATAATTCTGGACCAAGATGCAGGGATGAGCGAGGTTGCTTCCACAGGAAACGAAGCAGTCATGGGAATTGTAGGCCATGAAAGAATTTATCATGTGCCCCTTGTAATTTGAGTCATGGGTTTTAGTAATAGTGAAGTTTGTTCCTGGCTTTCTCAGCAAAATGAACAAGCACATTGTTTTTGTTCAGGGAGTTGTTGGCCTTGGAGCAGGAAGAGATGTTCCTTAGCCCGCAGTTTAATTATCTGTCCCACTAATGAGTCCTGCCCATCTTCCTGGGTTTTCCTTGCTGAATTGCGCAAATTTGGCACATGATGTGCTGTGAAAACCAGAGTCTGTATGAAGAGACGTTCTAAAAGGAATATTAGGAATATCCTTCATTGGCCAAGTGTGATTGGGACCACAAAAGGAATTTTGTCTCCGGGCGCAGAAGTTCTCGGTATCTCATCCGAAGTTCGTTCAAAGTAACCAAAATTGGCTTGATAGAATGAAAAAATAATAATAATAATAATTCACAGTTGGACAGTATTTTTATTTGGGCCGAGCAAAGAATCTTTAAAGCTATGAAGCCCAAACTGAATCAATCACATTTCGACTTAGCAAGCAGCCTGAATCAAAGTAGGGACTACAGGTAGTCCTCGACGTACGACTGCAATTGAGCTCAACATTTCTGTTGCTAAGCGAGACAGTTGTTAAGTGAGTTTTGCCCCGTTTTACGACCTTTCTTGCCATACCTGTTAAGTGAATCACCGCAGTTGCTAAGTTAGTTAGAGGGAAGTTATCTATCTTCCATCTATCTTATCTATCATCTATCTTTATATCTCTCTATCTATCTATCTATCATCTATCTATCTATCTATCTTTATATTTATCTCTATCTCTATCTATCTATCTATCTATCTATCTATCTATCTATCTATCTATCTTTATATCTATCTATATCTATCATCTATCTATCTATCTATCTTTATATTTATCTCTATCTCTATCTATCTATCTATCTATCTATCTATCTATCTATCTATCTATCTATCTATCTTTATATCTATCTATATCTATCATCTATCTATATGTATCTATATCTATCATACAGTATATCTTTAATCTATCTATCTATCTATCTTTATATCTATCTCTGTCATCTATCTATCTTTATATTTATCTCTATCTATCTATCTGTCTATCTATCTATGTATCTTTATATCTATCTCTATCTATCATCTATCTATATGTATCTGTATCTATCATACAGTTTATCTTTATATCTCTCTATCTATCATCTATCTATCTATCTTTATATCTATGTCATCTATCTATCTTTATATTTATCTCTATCTATCTTTATATCTATCTCTATCATCTATCTATCTATATGTATCTATCTATCATACAGTATATCTTTATATCTATCTATCTATCATCGATCTTTATATCTCTCTATCATCTCTCTCTCTCTCTATCTATCTTTATATCTATCTCTGTCATCTATCTATCTTTATATTTATCTCTATCTCTATCTCTATCTATCTATCTATCTTTATATCTATCTCTATCTATTATCTATCTATATGTATCTATATCTATCATACAGTATATCTTTATATCTATCTATCTATCTATCTATCTATCTATCTTTATCATCTATCTTTCTTTATATCTATCTCTATCTATCACTTAACTAATGTCTCACTTAGCAACGTAAATGTCAGGTTCCATTGTGGTTGTAAGTCGAGGAGTAGCTAGATTTAGCTTAAGGCAGAAACCTGAAATTCGGTGCATGGGTGAGTTTTTCCTCTCCTTGTCCTCTTCAGGGGCCCATGAGTGACCATGGATGGATGCTATTTTCTTCTGCTTGGCTTTCTCATGTTCTCCAAACTAATTAACACTGGATGCTTTCAGCCATAATTATGGAGAGGAAAAAAAAAATCTTGTTTATCATCAGCGTAATTAAATTTAGCCGGGCAAGTTCATCAGACTGCAGAAACATTCTCCTTCCTTCTTTCCCCAAATTGCACAGGAGGAGGAGGATGGGTGAGTTTTCAGAAGCTCAAAGATCTCCACGGCTCAGTCCTGTTTATCTACATGGCCTGTGTGCTCTTGTAGGACTTGTGTACACAGAACATGAATCAGTTATCCACCCAATCTGACCAGTTGCACGTCTGTGCTTGTGCTGTCGGAGACAGCCTAGTTTTATTACTAAGGTGATTTTTTTCCCCCCTTAACGTCCTTGTTGCAAGAATGCTGCAATCTCCGTTACTGATAGAATAGAATAGAATAGAATAGAATAGAATAGAATAGAATAGAATAGAAAATATGGAATAGAATGGAATAGAATATAGAATTAGAACAGAATATAGAGTAGAGTAGAGAGTAGAATAGAGTAGAGTAGAATAGAAAAAAAGAAAAAAGAAAAAGGAAAAGAAAAGAAAAGAAAAGAAAAGAAAAGAAAATATGGAATAGGATGGAATAGAATATAGAATTAGAACAGAATATAGAGTAGAGTAGAGTAGAGTAGAGTAGAGTAGAGTAGAGAATAGAATAGAATAGAATAGAAAAAAGAAAAAAGAAAAGAAAAGAAAAGAAAAAAAAAAGAAAAGAAAAAAAGAAAAGAAAAGAAAAGAAAAAAAGAAAAGAAAAGAGAAAAGAAAAGAAAAGAAAATATGGAATAGAATGGAATAGAAATATAGAATTAGAACAGAATATATAGAGTAGAGTAGAGTAGAGTAGAGTAGAATAGAGTAGGGTAGAATACAGAACAGAGCAGAATAGAGTAGAATAGAATAACAAAATTGGAAGGGACCTTGGAGGTCTTCTAGTCTAACCCCCTACTCAGGCAGGAAACTGTATGCTATTTCAGACAAAAGGCTGTCGAGTCGCTTTTTAAAAACCTCCAGTGTTGGAGCACCCACAACTTCTGGAGGCAACTTGTTTCACTGGTTAATTGTCCTCCCTGTTAGGAAGTTTCTCCTTGATAATAATAATACTAATAATAATATAACAATAATAATCAGAATAGAGCTGGAAGGGTCCTTGGAGGTCTTCTAGACCAGCCTCTTCCTCAAGCAGGAGACCCTATAACATTCCAGACAGATGGCTGTCCAGTCTCTTCTTAAAAGCTTCCAGTGATGAAGCACCCATAACTTCTGGAGGCAAGGAGTTCCACTGGTTAATTGTCCTCACTGTCAGGAAATTTCTCCTTAATTCCAGGTTGCTTCTCTCCTTGGTTAGTTTCCACCCGTTGCTTCTTGTCCTGCCTTCAGGTGCTTTGGAGAATAGGTGGACCTCCCTCTTCTTTGGGGCAAGCCCTTGAGATATATTGAATAAACTCTGGATGAAGATATCCATCAAAAGCTTATCTCAACGGTTAGCAAGTTTCTCAACCGGTGGACTTAGGGCAGGGCGTTGTTATGTTACACAGTCTGCTCTTTTGGAGGAAGAGCTGAAAGGTTACAAGAGTTTGTCTCTCCAGATTTGAGCACAGGTAGTACTCGACTTAAAACAGTCCACTGAGTGACCATTCAAAGTTACAATGGCACTGAACAAAGGGACTTTAGGACCGTTCTTCACAGTTAGGACCTTTGCAGTTTTCCCGTGGTTACATGATCAAAATTCAGCCACTTGGCCACGGGTTCATACTTATGACCGTTGCTGTATCCCCTTTTGCGACCTTCGGACGAGCCAAATCAATGGGGAAGCCAGATTCACTTAACAACTGAGGCCAGAAAGTTGGTAAAATGGGGGTCAAACTCACTTAACGAAGGTCTCCCTTAGCAACAGGAATTTGGGGCTCAATTTGTGGTTCTTAAGTCGAGGACTACCTGTGCATTTATAGAAGGTGTGTTCATTGCTCAAGAGCCTCTTTTTCTTCTATGTCCGCCAAATGTTGGAAATGTAACCAGACACCGGGGACGTATTATCAGAGGTGGGATTCAGCCGGTTCGGGAAAACCGGTAGTTGTGATCTGCGGGTGGGCCTGCCCACCTGCCCCAGCGCTACGCTGTCCTATTTAGCTGCATTTTTTAAGCCGTGCACATGTGTGCAAGCGCACACACAAGCAAAGCACATGCGCGGAAGGAAGTGAGAGAAAAGAAATTGATGATAGTTTGCAAATGGGGTGGTTTTGAGAAAATTCATGTGATAAATTCATGTGATAAAGAGCCTTGATAGTACAGTGGTCTACGCACCCTGTTATTAACACAGCTGCCTGCAATTACTGCTGGTTCGAATCTCGCCAGGCTCAAGGTTGACTCAGCCTTCCATCCTTTCTAAGGTAGGTAAATTGAGGACCCGGTTTGTGGGGGCAATAAGCTGACTTTGTAAAAATATACAAAAGAATGAAGGCTATTGCTTAACGCATTGTAAGCCGCCCTGAGTCTCCGGAGAAGGGCGGCATATAAATCAAATTAAAAAAATTAAAAAAATTTTTTTTAAAAAATGGAGAAATAAGATAATGAAATGAAATAAGATTCAGATTGGAGGTTAAGGCGGGTGGTAATATTGATTATGTATTAAATATTAAGTAGAGATGAAAAACAAAAGTAGAAAAAGAAAGGAATATTATGGCAGAAATTGAAATATATCAATCATATTTGGGGAAAAATTTAAAAAAGAGGATGGGAATTTAAAATTTTATACTTATGTTATAAACTGTATAAATTTTGACTCGGTCATAACTGCCAATGTGTGACACCCGCCGGCACGTGATTTATTGAGCTTTTTGACCCCCCGGTAGGCCAACCATGGATAAATCCAAGAAAAGAAAAGTTTCAGAAGAAAACAGAACTACATATGCTAGTTTTGTGGCCGCTTAAGAAATAGTCAGGCACGGGAAGGGTTTTGTGGCTCCCGGTGTTTTCTTTTCTGTGGGAAACGGTTCCAAATGGCTTTTTGAGTGTTTAAGGTTGCAGACCCCTGCTCTATTCAGAAAAAATGTACTGTTTGTTTGTATGTTTGTTTGTTTTAAAAAAAATTATATAAAAAAAAGACAAGACACAGAGTATTTTCGAACACGGGACTTGTTTTATAAATGATTGGGTAGTAGAGGTAGAAATTAGGAGTGGGAAGAGTACTGTTGTATAAAAAATAAACTGATCCGGACAATACACTGTTCATTAAGCACTTATGCATGTATGTAACGTGAAAATATATAAATAAATTGTTTTGGCTTTCCCACTTTTACAGCAGGCCTTCTCCTCGAGTTTTCCTTGGGGAAGTTCAGGAATTTCTTGCTGAATGAAAGCGTCCCAGCTGAAGCTGTCTTGAGGAACATCGCTGGCAACGTGACGCTCGTCCTCTTTCAGATCCATTCCCACTACCGAAATGTGACCATCTCCTTTGCGAAGGTATTGCAAACCCCGTTTTCTAAGACCCGGAAAAGAAAATTGAAACTGAAAATCTCTTCGGTTTCTGGAAAGGCGCAATGATTTCTTTCGCTTCTTAGGAACCTTCTCCTAGCAACTCGGGAACTGGAATAGACCGAGGTTTAGTTTCGGTGCTTCGACCTGAACAGACGGTGTGCACGTGGTATTTGCGAGCGGTGGGTACGGATCAGGTGCTGAGCACAGCCGTTTCTTTGCCCTACACCGAAAAAGGTAAGTTTGGCCTTTGTCGGCAGATAAGGTTCAGTGTTCTGACCCAGCTCCTCAAACACAACAAACTCTCTGAAGTGAACTCAAAAGATTCCTTTAATTCGTAGTTCCAGCAGCCCCGGCAAAAAGTTTCTCCCTCACTACAGGCTAACAAGTCTATCCGTCCCGAAGATGAATAGTTGTCTGCCACATCTATTCATCTCCGTCCCCTGCCTTTTATCCCCAGAGCTAGGGTAAGGCTTCGCTAGCAGAGGCTGCTCTTCCGTCCCAAGGACCGGCCCATAGATTTCCACTGCTCTCCTCTCCTCTGCCTTCTGCGCATTTGGGCATCAGGCATTGGACCCATCTGTTCCTCCTCTTCCTCATCAGCCACCTCCAGACCTGGGGACTGTTGACTCTCCATCTGAGGGTTGATGGAGAGGCCCAGGATCCGTCTCTGTCTCTATCTCTGCCAGCTCCATTCCCTCTTCCCCCTCGGAGCCCTCAGGTTGCTTTAATGCTGAGCCTGACTCCCACCCTCCTCCTCCTCCTCCTCCGATTCGGCTGCTTCTGCTGGAGGGGCCAGCAGGCGAATCAGGACTAAATGGAATATTGCTTCAGCCATCATTATATCAGATGTTTAGAGGACCAGTGTATGGGCCAAGATTCAACTTCAGAATGCTTGTGGCCATCATAATACGGTGGTTCTGTCTGTCTATTTATGTCAGTATCTGTCATCTCTCTCTGTGTGTGTCTACCTGTATCTGTCCATATCTGTCAGTCTCCTATCATCTCTTGTATATCTACTTATCAGTTTATCCATCATCTCTGTCTTTCTTTTCCACTACATCTATCTATCTATCTATCTATCTATCTATCTATCTATCTATCTATCTATCTATCTATCTATCTATCTATCTATCTATCTATCTATCTTATCTATCATCTATCTATCTATCTATCTATCTATCTATCATCTATCTATCTATCTATCTATCTCATCTATCATACAGTATCTCTATCTATCTACCTATCTACCTATCTACCTATCTACCTATCTACCTATCTACCTATCTATCTATCTATCTATCTATCTATCTATCTATCTATCTATCTATCTATATCTATCTATCTCATCTATCATACAGTATCTCTATCTATCTACCTATCTATCTATCTATCTATCTATCTATCTATCTATCTATCTATCCTACTCTATCTATCATAATTAATCCCAAAATATCTATTGCTAGGCGAGAGCTGTTAAGTGAATGTTGCCCCATTTTACGACCTTTCTTGCTATAGTTGTTAAACGAATCACCATAGTTGTTAAGCTAGTCACGCGGCTCCTAAGTGAATCTGGCTTCCCTATTGACTTTGTTCGTCAGAAGGTCCCAAAAGGGAATCATGTGACCCCCCCGGGACCCTGCCACTGTCATAAGTATGAGTCAGTTGCCAAGTATCTGAATTTTGATCACGTGACCATGGGGAGGCTGCAGTGGTCATAAGTGTGAAAAATGGTCATGTCACTTTTTTCAGTGACGTTGCAACTGTCATTTACGGTCAGTAAATGAATGATTGTAAGTGAAAGACTACCTCTATGTAGCTGTCCAACTCACAGCTGTAAAACATCTGTATCCACAGCTGTATATTCTGTTCAGCCTGGGCTGAATGCAATTCAGTCGCACGCCGTCTTATTATCAAAAGCAGTGGACAAAATGTTGTTTCATTTTCGAGATCCTTCCTTTCTCCTGTTCCTTGACTTTATTTTAATTATGTTTTTATTCTGCCTAGATCCAATACCTGGAGGATGCAACTTGGAATTTGATTTGGAAACGGATCCCAACCTGTATCTAGAATATAACCTGGCTGAGACCCACATTATATTTGCTCCAGCCAATCTGGGGTACGCGAGGTAGGTCCAAGCTGGGTGTTGTTCTTAGGTGAAAGAAACAAAACTTCAGAGGAAGATTGTGGATGATGGTTGAGGTGCATCTTAAGACCCTGGTAGCTTTTTAGAGCTAGGAAGCAAGGAAAGTTAACGAAAAGCTGTTTGTTCTGACGCAGATGCCCAAACACGACTAACCCTCTGAAGTTAACTCAAAAGATTCCTTTATTAGGAACGCCGGCAGACCCGGCAAAAAGTTTCTCTCTCAACGCCGGCTAACAAGTCCGTCCATCTGGAAGATGAATAGTTGTCTGTCCCATCTATTCATCTCCGTCCCCTGTCTTTTATCCACGGTGGCTCTCCTGTCCGAAGGACCAGCCCATAGATTTCCACTGCTCTCCTCTCCTCTGCCTTCTGTGCATCAGGCACTGGACCCAGCTGTTCCTCCTCTTCCTCATCAGCCACCTCCAGACCTGGAGGCTGTTGACGCTTCATCTGAGGGTTGACAGACAGTCCAGGTTCCGCCTCGGTCTCTCTCTCTCTCTGCCAGCTCTACTCCCTCTTCTCCCTCTTGGAGCTCCCAGGATGCTTGGATGCTGACCATGTCTCCCATGCCTCCCCCCTTCTTTGATTCGGCTGCTGGAGGGGCCGATGGCCGACCGGCCACAACACTGTTCCTCTGTGGGGAAACTCTTGTCTTTTCTGTAAGGTTTTCCGGTGCTACGATTGTTCCTGAATCAAATACAGGTACTCTTCAACTTATGACCACAATTGAACCCCGGATTTCTGTTGCTAAGTGAGACATTGGTTAAGTGAGTTTTGTCCCATTTGACTGCAAAACCTGGAACGCTGAAGGAGCAACGTTGGAGGTGTGTCTAAGTTAGACAGCTATATAGGTCTGTTTAGATAAATATCTATTGATTGAAGGAAGGATAAAATAGAAGATAGTTTTCAGAAATAATTCATGGTTGTCGTCCCCCCCCCCCCCAAAGAAATCGTTGAAGAGAAATTGGCTAAATGAGATTATTTTATAGGTGGTTTTACACTGGAATAAACTACCTAAAAGAAGCGTTTATTTCTCTCGGTTGCAAAGAATCTTAATGGCGGTGACAAGAGTTCCTGGCTTTTGAATATTTTTATTCATTATTAAGCTCAGATGCCCCTTCATTTATGGAGAATAAGCAGCTTACAATATTTTTTTTTTTAATTTGATTTATATGCTGCCCTTCTCTGGAGACTCAGGGCGGCTTACAATGTGCTCAGCAATAGCCTTCATCCTTTTGTACATTTATACAAAGTCAGCTTATTGCCCCCACAACTGGGTCCTCAATTTACCTACCTTAGAAAGGATGGAAGGCTGAGTCAATCTTGAGCCTTGGCGAGATTCGAACCTGCAGTAATTGCAGGCAGCTGGTCTTAATAATCAGCTTAATAACAGGGTGCCTTAGACCACTGTACTACCAAGGCTCTTAACCTTCTAAGATTAAAAACAAAAATCGATTAATGCAGTTATAATAACCAATCTGGTCGGCCACTCGTAGGGCCAGTGAGATCTCATTTATTCCTAAATGCCGTTCGGCCGAGCTCTAATTTTACAATTCTTCCAAAATGTAGTAAGGAAACAGAATCTGGATATCTGTGAGTAAGCTATCTCAAAAGGGTGGGGGTATCACCGAGAAGACTTAAGTCTGGGGCATATAAATCTCTCTCTCTGTCTCTCTCTCTATATATATATCCTTTCAATATTTACATAGATGTTCACACAGTCCAAAGTTAAAAGATGTTTAAAAACGAATTTGCAATTTAGCCGAGATTGGGTGGCTGTTCCTCAGATGAGATCTTCCATATTAACAGAATAACAGAGTTGGAAGGGACCTTGGAGGTCTTCTAGTCCAACCCCCTGCTCAAGCAGGAAACCCTATACAATTTGAGACAAATATTTCTCTGTTCTCTTCTTAAAAGCCTCCAGCGATGGAGCACCGACAACTTCTGGTGGCAAGCTGTTCCAGTGGTTAATTATTTTCGCTGCCTGGAAATTTCTCCTCAGTTCCAGGTTGCTTCTCTCCTTGATGAGTTTCCACCCATTGCTTCTTGTCCTGCCTTCTGGTGCTTTGGAGAATAGCTTGACTCCCTCTTCTTTGGGGCAGCCCCTGAGATATCGGAAGACTGCTATCATGTCTCCCTTAGTCCTTCTCTTCATCAAACTAGACATACCCAATTCCAGCAACTATTCTATGTTTTAGCTTCCAGTCCCCTAATAATCTTTGTTGCTCTTCTCAGCACTCCTTCTTCAACTATTAAAAGATTTGCCACCATTAAACCAGAAAGAGTAATTATTTCCCAGTTAATTTTACTACGCTTGTAGCATCAACACGGCACTTAATTATACAAGGTGCAGCAGCAACTTACAAGTCAATTATCCAAGGTGTAAACCTGTGGTTTTCCAAGTGTGGCTGAATTACGCTTTTCAGCACTTTCGAGGCTTAGGTTTGCTCCTTGGAGTTGCTGAGCTTGTATTACCACATGGTTAAAATTGTCCCTCAAATTGAGGTAGCTCATGATAACTCACGGACCTATATATCCATGTAATGTTTTGCATTATATGTTATTAATTGATGTTATTAATGTTGCAAGGGACACGATGGCTCAGTGGCAAAAGATGCTGAGCGTGTCGATCGAAAGGTTGGCAGTTCAGCGGTTCGAATCCCTAGTGTCATGTAACGGGGTGAGCTCCCGTGACTTGTCCCAGCTTTTACCAACCTAGCAGTTTGAAAGCGCGTAAAAAATGCAAGTAGAAAAATAGGGACCACCTTTGGTGGGAAGGGAACAGCGTTCCGTGCGCCTTTGGCGTTGAGTCATGCCAGCCACGTGACCACGGAGATGTCTCTGGACAGTGCTGGCTCTTTGGCTTTGAAACTGAGATGAGCACCGCCCCCTAGAGTCGGGAACGAGTAGCACGTATGTGCGAGGGGAACCTTTACTGTTACTTAATGTTTTGCAGTGGTTCAGAAGTGGTTTGCCATTGTCTTTTTCTATTGGTTTTTTTTTTTTTTACTATCTAGTCCACCCCACTGGTGTTTTCTCGTGGTCTCTTGTCCAAGTTCTAACCAGGTTTGACTCAGTTATGAGGTCAAGGAAAGAGCCTGTAGTACAGTGGACTAAAGCACACTGTTATTAACATTTACTGCTTGCAATTACTGCAAGTTCAAATCTGACCAGGCTCAAGTTTGACTCAGCCTTCCATCCTTTTGAAAGGTAGGTGAAATGAGGACCCAGATTGCGGGGGCAATAAACTGACTTTATATAAATATACAAAAAAAGTATGAAGGCTATTGCTTAACGCACTGTAAGCTGCCCTGAGTCTCCAGAGAAGGGCGGCATATAAATTAAAGCAAAAAAAAAAAAAAAAAAGGAAAGGTATCCAATTGCTATCACTTGCTGAAATGCTCTTGAGGTCCATAAGTTTCTCTTTCTATTTGAAATTATTCTTTTAAGTGACTGGGTATGGGGGAACAAGAATTTAAATATTCTGGAGGCTTGGCATGAAGATGTGGCTCTCCAAAGTCCAAACCATCTCCAATTTCCTTCTTATTGTTCAGAGGGGCAAACCCACCATCCTGTGATTCGGAAACCAGTCTGGATTCCAGGTGGAGACTCTCTTATGATGTCTACCAGTATTTTTTGCCCGAGAATGATTTGTCGGAAGCCACGTTTGTGAGTCATATGAGAAGAATGTCAGAAGTCCAAAGCATCCAGGCTTACGGATCTAAAGTAAGTCACGCCGGTTTTCATTGCAGATGAGAGTTGGAAACTATTGATTTGAAGGATTTTTCCCCCCAGTGGGAATCTTTGGATCTGTGGGTCATTAGATATAGTGATAGATAGATAGATAGATAGATAGATAGATAGATAGATAGATAGATAGATAGATAGATAGATAGAGACAGTAGATAGATAGAGACAGACAGACACTAAATCTATTTAGCTGTCTATCATCTATCACCTACCGTATCTATCTATCTATTATCTATCTATCTATCTATCTATCTATCTATCTATCTATCTATCTATCCATCCATCCATCCATCCATCCATCCATCCATCCATCCATCCATCCACCTACCAATTATGATAGGTAGATAGGTAGTGATAGATACAGACACCTATCTATTTAGCTGTCTGTCTGTCTATCTACTCATTATCTATGATAGGTAGGTAGGTAGATAGATAGATGATACAGACACCTACCTACCTACTATCCATTCATTATTTATGATAGGTAGGTAAATAGATAATAGTAGAGAGAGAAATAGACAGATGGGTGGATACATAATAAGATAGATAATGATGGATGGATAGATACAGACAGACGGATGGGTGGATAGATGGAGATAGATATTCATCTGTACACCCATCTCTCTCTGTCTGTCCGTCCATCCGTCCATTAATCCATTATCTACCCATCATTATCTACGATAGATAGGAAATAGATAGGCAGGCAGACAATAGATAATTGGTGGATAGATGAAGACAGACAGACAGAATCTGTGACCCATTTTTCTTCATGCGCCTTCTAATTTTTATTTTTTAATGTCCTCCCAGATGATGACCTTAACCAGCCAAGACAGAACTGACCTGTACTTCTCATCACTTCCTGGACAAGGCGTGATCTACAATGTCATCGTGAGAGATCCGAAGTGGAACACTTCAGCTGCATACGTGCCCGTTCATACCTACGCCTGCAGCCTCTCTGCCTTGGTGAATAACTGCTACACCTTTAGTAAGTCAACGGAGCATTCCACGGCTGTGTAGAGGCATCCACGGGGGCCTGAAAATATCAAAATGGCAGCCGCCGCTATGAAGTGAAAACCCCTCTCCCTTTTTACACATTTTTTGATGGATGTTTAAAATGGGGAGGGGCTTCAGCAATGTGTAGGCTGTCCGGGTTCTGACTAAATCATGAGCCTGGAGCCAAGCTTGAAAAGAAATCCAGTTATTTATTAGGAGATTCATATCTATACGTTCCCAAGTGAAGCCATCTCTGACCCTATGTAATTTACACACCAATTATGACCCTATTTCCCCCCACCCCATCCCCTCAGGGTGTGTCATCAATCACATTCACCAACGGAGCAATTTCAAGGGTTGTGGAGGTCACTTCCCTCCGGCTGCTGTAGGTAACCCTGGGATACAGCCTTGAGAGAGATAAGCATGGAATATGTGCCAGGGATGCTTTGCGAGTTGACATAGGGCTGTTGCAATGCCAATATATGGTTGAGGATCTCCTGTATCCTCCGTAATTTAACATCTGTCTTTGTATTTCAAGAATAGAGCTGAGGAGAAAGGAAGCATCAGAGGAATAAATCAGAGGAATTATCAAGAGGTTGTTAAAAGTGGGGCTGAATGAGTTTTATTGAACTTTCTTAGCATATCAGGAAGATATCCTTGAAGTGAATAACAGCCAGCAAGTATGGAGGATGGTAGAGCTAAATTAGGGATAATTTTTAGGCATTAGGAAATATATTGGTTTATGGTAAAAAAAAAAATCAAGATGGCAGCCACGATGACGTAATAGAAGCTCTGTATATTAAAAAAAAAAAACAGCCAGAGTTTAGGTCACACAACCGTAATCACCATTCCAACATTTTGACCGTGTTGGATTTAATAACATGGGGTCATTGGTTTCTCCAAATGGGTTTGATAACTCTAGAATAATCCAGGAGTGGCAATTTTAAGACCTGTGGACTTCGACTCCCAGAATTCCCCAGCCAGCCATCTTGGCTAGGGAATTTTGGGAGTCGAAGTCCGCAAGTCTCAAAGTCGCCAAGGTTGGACACCCATGGCTTGAGCTAATCCTTCTACAGCCCACCCTTATTTACTCTGGAGGGTCTTCCTCTCTTAGCTGATGAGGGGAAGCCATGTCTGTTGGCGAGAGGACGCGATTATAAACCAGAGTCTAATTTTCATTCTCTTTTCTGTTGATAGGAAGGTTGTCCACCAAAATATTTTTCACCAATTTGGCTTTTCTCGGTCTCTTTATCTGCTTCTTCGGACACAGATTCTGGAAAACAGGTACTGTTAGGAGGGGTGCTTGATTCAGGGGTAGGCCCATCAGGGTCAGCCTTGTCCGGTGTCAATCCTATGGAATCGTTGCATTGATGTCTAGAATCTGGAAGCCCAGCTCAACGTTTTGAACACACACACAAAAAAATGGGGCACACACGCTTCTCAATTTAATCCAGAAAAAACATTTCTCTCAGGTTCCGGATCAGGATGGGAAAGGAAACACCAGACATCAGGGTGGAGCGTGCCGCGATCCGGCACGCTCCAACAATCACCCAGTGCAGTTTCAGTGAAATATTGTCAGCTCTAGCCTCTTCGTGCTCCCACCACCGTTTTAAACCCATTGCGTCCACCCTGCTACTCCATCCCCAAATCCTGCCTCTGATGGAGGGCTCCAGCTGCATCCCTTCTGGGATAGCAAGCCGCAATTAGTCCAGGGCCGTTGAGCCTTGGATATTCTCTGTAAGCCCCGATTTAATGGTGGCTATTGTAGCCGGCGTGGCATCTGCGCAGGCGTGATCCTGTCCGCCTCTCAGCTGAGGGGCGGTAGCGCATCTGGCAGTAATGGAAAGGATGACGGCCCTGGGAACAGTGGGCAGAAATGGGATCCATCAGCTGTCATCAGGAGGACAGGTGGAGACAAGGGAAGGCTTCCCGGGCTGGAATGTGGAATGGTGCGACCTGTTTGCCTCCGTCCCCACCGGAATTGCAGTCCCGGCGAAGCGGGGCCGACAATTTCATTATTGTGAAGAAAAGATCCCTTATTTTTAATGGAAGAGTATTAAGAAATATATGGTCCTTCAAATGTTGGAGCCCAGTTCCATGCAGCTTGACCAGGATTGTCAGTCTATCCCAGGGGGTCTGCAACCTTAAACCCTCCAAGAGCCATTTGGACCCGTTTCCCACAGAAAAGAAAACACCGGAAGCCACAAAACCCTTCCCGTGCCTGACTATTTCTTGAGCAGCCACAAAACTAGCATATGTAGTCGAATTAAACATTCTGAAACTTTTCTTTTCTTGGATTTATCCATGGTTGGCCTACTGGGGTTGAAAAGCTCAATAAATTGCGTGCTGGCGGGTGTCGCACATTGGCGGTTGAGATGCATATTTTGAGTGACAGGGAGCCGCAGCAGAAGGGAGAAAGAGGCACAGGCGGCTCCAGAGCCGCAGGTTGCTGACCCCTGTTCTATCCAGTTAGACAGACATAAGGATTACAAGATGCCAGTGCTACTCCTTGTGCATTGTGAACTTTTGTGGGCCTTACTATCTGTAGAGTGAGCCTTTCTCAAGATATACCCCTAGGCAGTGTCCCATTTTTGGCACTTCTGTTTTCCAAGATTGTCTTCTCCTTATCTTGCAAGAGAAGTTGTGGTGGACGTTTGCTCAGGAACTGCGTTTTGCCACCACTCACTGTGTAGGTTTATTTGTTTAATCATCCTTTCAACTCCTTTTCAACTCTGGGCAGTTTACAACTAAGAACCAATATATATATAAGCGAAAACCACTCACACATTAATCACAAAATCTCCAGAACCGTAAAGCCTACAAACTTGAAATTTGCCACGTATGTTCCTCTTGGCTTCTAGGTGCTCACTAAGAAAGGATTTTTCGAAATGACCATCAGAGCATTAGTACTTCCTATATTATTATGAACATGCTCTGATGCTAAGGAGTTGTATCCCCCTCCCCACCTGAAAAGAAATCTGTTCCAAATGCAAAAACACAAGCAGAGGAGAGGAGTTTCAGTTTTGCTTTCACAGCAGCAAGCAGCTTGAGCTAAGCCACGCCCAGCCTCCTTCCTGTCTCCTTCTTGCTCACACAGCAAATACTGTTTGAGTTTCCAAACACCCCTCAACTCTCTCACACACTGACAGGATGCTAGTCAGATTAATACTGATGGATGCTGCGGGCTGGGACATTCTACTCCCCCTCCCCCTCTGTTCCAACTGCCAGTTGCATTATATTAACACACTCTGATGCTACGGAGTTACACATTCTACATTAAGTTTCAGGCTGCAAGTGTCAATTTATCAAGCCCGAGCACATAGTTTCGTAGTGAAGCACGAGTCTCCAGCTAATACAGTATATATCTGTAAAAAGATATAAATATAAAAGTTCCAGAAGAGTGAATTAAAATGCTGGTTAAGATTTTGAGGAAAAAGCTGAGCAAAGCTGCAACGGTTGTGATGAAAGAGAGCAAAAAAAGCAATTTTTTTTTTTTGAAAAGTGAAAGGAAAGGAGCTTTTTTAAAACTTGAAGGTTTTAAAAGGTTGAAGCCCTTAAATAGCTTAGCAACAGATATATTGGGCTCATTTGCTATCATAAGTCAAAGACTACCTGTATCCGTATATATCTTAACATTCTGGGTGGTGGTGGTAAAAGTCTGTTTTAATTTTTTTTTTTTAATTTTACTTTTCCCCCTTAGGTTTATTCTTTAGTGGATTTATCTTCACGGCTTTCTTTTTCTTCATCGTCATTACTAAAACATCGGCTCTCAGCTATGACGGTGAGTTGAAATTCGGTACGGTTATATTTGCGCCCTGATAAAAGCTGTCGGAAGCTGAGTGTGGGACGAGAGATTGATGTTTCGTGAAAGGAAACCAGATTCATCCCGATTCTGACGTGACACTTCTCATTCCTTCGGCCAAGTTAAGCAACCACTGATACGAGAGAACCAGAGGTGGGTTTCAGCAGGTTCTGACCGGTTCTGGAGAACTGGTAGCGGAAATTTTGAGTCGTTCGGAGAACTGGTAAATACCACCTCTGACTGGCCCCACCCCCATCTATTCGCTGTCTCCTGAGTCCCAGCTGATCGGGAGGAAATGGGGATTTTGCAGTAACCTTCCCCGGAGTAGGGAGGGAATGGAGATTTTACAGTACCTTTCCCCTGGAGTGGGGTGGGAATGGAGATTTTACAGTATCCTTCCCCTGCTACGCCCACCAAGCCACACCCACAGAACCGGTCGTAAAAATTTTTGAATCCCACCACTGGAGAGAACGTGAAGAGGCTGGGAAATCCATAGAAGGAAAAATCGATATAAATAATCAAAAAGTAGTTTAGTACATAAAGAAAGCTGGGAGGAAATGTTTTGGTTTGGTCAAGTCTGCCTTAATGAATTTGTTGGTAAATGAGCGTGGGAAATGCCCTTTTTGAGATTTATTGAAAAATTAGCCCTTTAAAGGTATCGTATGAGGTCCCAGAGTCCCTGCAAAAAGATAGTGTCAAAGATTAATTAAAGCTTAATTTGCTATTCCCGTCAGTGGTTAAGGCACTTGCTTTGATGAATAGGAATGTGAAACTTTAGAATGGGGGAAAGCTGGATGGATGTTTAATAAATGATAAATTTACACGCTCTTCGACATTTCAAAGCGGAAATTTAAAAAATGGACGCAGTGGCTCAGTGGCTAAGACTCTGAGTTTGTCAATCAGAAAAGGTAGGGGCAGTTCAGAGGTTCGAATCTCTAGTGCTGCGTAACGGGGTGAGCTCCCGTTATTTGTCCCAGCTTCTGCCAATTTAGCAGTTCAAAAGCAGGTAAAAAATGCCAAGTAGAAAAATAGGGACCACCTTTGGTGGGAAGGGAACAGTGTTCCGTGCGCCTTTGGCATTTAGTCATGCCGGCCACATAACCGTCTTCCGACAGCGCTGGCTCCTCGGCTTTGAAACGGAGATGAGCACCGCCCCCTAGAGTCAGAAACAACTAGCACGTATGTGTGAGGGGAACCTTTACCTTTATCTTTACTCAGTTCTATTGAGGGGGTATCCCTTTCTGTATTAATTTGAAAAAATATAAATGGCCTTGGAAAGGATAATTTTAGCAAAGTTTTGCATTCATGAGGACCTCTTCGCTCTAGAAAAGAGTGCAGAGAAGAGCAACAAAGATGACCAGAGATGTTGTGACTCCGACCCCCGAGGCCGACTTATCGGAGGGAGAAGGCTCCGAACATGAAGGAGAGGAGATGGCCAGGCCTCCCTCTCCAGGACCCTCCTCTCTGGCAATGCCTCCGGTGTCTCCCAAGGGAGAAGAGATTGGCCAGGAGCCAGGTATCTCCTCACAGTCGGACAGTGATGGAGATAAGTCTTGGCTGGATCCACGCCAGCGTCGAAGAGATAAGCGCACGCAGCAGAAAAGGAGGCGTGCCAGAGATTAAGCTGAGTCATTGGACCACACCCCACAGGGGATATAAGGGGGTGAGGTGGCCATTCAGACTCTGTGATGGACAAAACTAACTACTAGCAAGTCACATTGTATCTTTGCAACAACGATATTTGCCTTGGATTTAATACGGACTGGACTTGACAATTCTTGAACTGTGTGTATCTTGTTTGGCTTTATCTGTCGGAGGAACAACCCCTCCCTTTATGGGTAAAGTTCTTGGCAAGCAGCTACTGGGTTGCTGCCAATCCTCTTATCAAAAGTATTTGTTGTCTGCCAGTTTTATTTAACCCTTGGATATCTGTTTGTGTGCGTGTGTGAGACGGGGACAGAACAGGAGGTTAAAACATATGAAGAATGGTTGCAGGAATTGGGTTCCTATTCTAGACAGAGAGAAGGACTAAGGGGGACATGATAGCAGTCTTCCAATATTTGAGGGGCTGCCACAAAGAAGAGGGGGTCAACCTATTTTCCAAAGTCTGAAAAGCAGCTTTGGGATAACCATGATCTGGATGATTGAGAATCTCCATATTCCCCTCTATTCCCCAATGCGTTTGAAGGTAAGACAAGAAGCAATGGATGGAAACCTGTCAAGGAGAGGACCAACCTAGAACTAAGGAGGAATTTTCTGACAGTGAGAACAATTAGTCAGTGGAACGTCTTGTCTCCAGAACTTGTGGTGCTCCAACATTGGAAGTTTTTAAGAAGAGACTGGACAATCATTTGTCTGGAATGGTACTATAGGATCTCCTGCTTGAGCAAGTGGTTGGACTAGAAGTCCTCTAAAGTCCCTTTCACCTCTGTTATTCTGTTATTCACTTCCATCCTCCGTGTGACTTGGGCCCAGTGAAGCTCCAATAAGCAGTTATTTCTGTTTTTGAAGGACTAGGGTAGATCTGGTTTCCTTGTAGTGAAAATGAGCAAATACCTTAAAAGTAAATAATGAGTAATCTTGCAAAGATGAGGTACGGTGGAAAACTGATTTTTAACTGCGCTAATCTTTACTCTTCCTCCTCTTCTCTTCCTTCATCCACCCCGCCCTGCTTTCTCTAGCCAATCTTGGTCTTACTGCAACAGCTGGCATCATTGGAGCCCTCCACCTAGTAGGATGTTGGTGGCTATTTGGCCTTGTCATCCCGTGTATGCTAATTGTAGGAGTAGTGCTGGGCTTTCTTGTATCGTCTGCACTTTTCTTCACTCCAGTAGGTAAGTGGTAGAAACCCTTCTCTGGACCCTCCACTCTGTCAAAGACTTTGGAGTACTCATCTCAAACGATTTAAGCGCCAGAGCTCACTGTAACAGCATTGCCAAAAAAGCATTAAGAGTTGTTAACCTAATTTTGCGAAGCTTCTTCTCCGGTAATATTGTACTGAAAACTAGGGCATACTAAACCTTTGCTAGACCAATTCTCAAATACAGCTCGTCTGCCTGGAACCCGCACTGTATGTCGGACATTAATACAATTGAGTGAATCCAGAGGTATTTCACAATTTTATTTATTTATTTTTATTTTAATTTGATTTATATGCCGCCCTTCTCTGAAGACTCAGGGCGGCTTACAATGTGCTCAGCAATAGCCTTCGTACTTTTGTATATTTATACAAAGTCAGCTTATTGCCCCCACAACTGGGTCCTCAATTTACCTACCTTAGAAAGGATGGAAGGCTGAGTCAACCTTGAGCCTTGGCGAGATTCGAACCCTGCAGTAATTGCAGGCAGCTGGTCTTAATAACCAGCTTAATAACAGGGTGCCTTAAACCACTGTACTACCAAGGCTCTGGTTTGCTCTCTGAGCTTGGCATTTAGTTCCCGAATGTTTCGTTACCAGGTTAGGTAACGTCATCAGTAGGACTTTCGGTAGAAGCGTCCTATTTTGCTTTAGCTTAAAAAAAAATTCTTTTTTTTTTGTAAAAGATTGTAAAATTGGGCGTGACTCATTTAACAATCCCTTTGCTTAACTAATGGAAATTCTGCTCATATCGCCCCTTGGGGTTGTAAGTCAAGGACTTACCTGTTTAGCCAAAATCTCCACACCGGCGTCAACTTTTTAAGTGCAAGTCAAGTCCTTGAAGCTAAATTATGAAGTTTCTTTTAACAAAAGTATCAAGAGTATTTACAGCGTGACGACTATTTTGAGACAACCCAGGAGTAAAATACAGGACACAGAGGTTTTTGTCATTACAAACAGTGGTTTATCTACAAGATTTCTATATATATATACATACACGTGCTAAGCAAAGCCAGGCAAGCGATCAACCTTCAACTCTACACGGATAACTACAAGGAAGATAGAACACGACGCGGAGAGAGATACACGAGGGGAGAGAGAGAGAGAGAGAGAGAGAGAGAGAGAGAGAGAGACCCCCTCTCATGGCCTCCCTTATATAGACAGCTTCTTAAAGTGGCAGTAACCCTGCTGATTTATCCTCATTGCATCATCTTGCTTTACAGCCTTATAGCAGCTTTAAATCGTCATTACTCTGACAAAAAGTGAATTATTTTCTTTAGGGAAGGAAATTTCTTTAGGATGGTCCTCATTTTAGGATTTGACAATTTGGCAGTTATGAACAGAGAGGCTAGGTTACAAATCTTTTCTTTTTTTTTTCCCCCTGTTCCAGGAGACTATAGAATTTTTCAAGACGATGCTGTTTTCTGGGTCACTTTCTCTTGCGTTGCCTTGGTGATTCCAGTCATTTTTGTCTGCTGCCCCAGAGTTGTAAGTACTATTTGCAGTTGAAGATGAATTTTGATTTTCCTGGGCTGGGAGGTGAAGGAAATGCGACTGGCCGAATTATCTTTACCAAACTTTGGCCTTGTGTTTTGACAACACGAGGTCTTAACTGCTCATAAAAAGGCCATCGGTTTTAAGTTTCTGGGTGTTGTCATAAAAAGAGGACCTGACCTGGGACGCTCACATTGCAGCACTGGTCAAAAGGGCCCAGCAGAGATTATACTACCTGAGACTTCTCAGGAAACAACAATTGAATGAGAAACTGCTGGCGGCCTCCTACCGCTGCACCATAGAGAGTATTTTAACTTACTGCATCTGTGTATGGTTTGCCAATTGCACAGTGGCAGATAGGACAGCACTCCAGAGGGTCAACGTCATTGCCCAGAGGATCATTAGTTGCCCTCTCCCCTCTTTGGAAGAGCTTTATAGCTCCCGCTGCCTTAAGAAAGTTCAAAACGTTCTTCAAAGATCCATCACATCCTGGGAACCCCCCCCCTTTTTTTTGGAACTTGTTCTGTCCCCAACCCCACGCACACACCCCAACAGACGTTCAGGAGTTAAAGACCAAACCAGCCGGCAAAATCCTTTTCCTTATGATAACGGAACATGGCAACAACCTAGTGGCTGCCTGCCAAGAGTTTATTATTTACAAAGAGGAGAGATAACTTCTCCCCACTTCTGATACATCAAAGGAAAGCAGCTCAATAATTACAATCAAGTCCAGAGATAATCCAATCTTAAAGCAAAAGTCTGGCAATGCAGAATGGCGTGGAAGCTTTCAGCTTTGTTCGTCATAAGGTTTGACTGGCCACCACGCTCCCTTTTATACCCTGTGGGGTGTGGTCCAGTGACTCAGCCTAATCTCGGGCACGCCTTTTCTTCTGTTGCGCGCGCTTATCCCTGCGACGCTGGCGTGGATCCAGCCAAGACTCATTACCCTCATCACTGTCCATCTGTGGCTGCGTGGACGTGCTTGGCCCCGGCCCTATCTCTTGCCCTTCGGCGGACACCGAAGGCATTGCCAGAGAGGAGGGTCCTGGAGAGGGAGGCCTTGCCAACTCCTCCCCTTCACTCTCGGAGTCCTCTCCTGCCGATGACACAGGCTCCGGTAACGGAGCCACAACAGAACTATTACCATCCGGCAGCCGGTTCAGGACAATAAAAACAAGGACAAATAGGCGGAAAAACAGCTTCTATCCCAGAGCAGTAACTATATTGAATTCTAGTGTATAATGCAGTGATGGCGAACCTTTTTGGCACCAAGTGCTCAAGCTAGAATGCATGCACGCGTGCGTCAGAGAACTGGAAACCCGAAGACGAGCAGGCCAGTGCACATGCGTGTGCCGGCCACCTGGTCTTCAGGTTTCTAGCACTCCAGCACACACAATGTCCAACTAGCTGGCACGCATGTATGCGCCGGAAGCCAGAAAAGCAGCTGGTGACAGCACGCATACCCACAGAGGCCTCTGCATGCCACCTCTGGCATGCGTGCCATCCAGGGTGGATAAAAATCAATGATTTTTTTAAAAAAAATAAAAAAAATCAGATTTTTTTGATTTAAATTGGATTTTTTTTTATTTAAATCGGATTTTTTTTATTTTTATCGAATTTATTTTAATAAAAAACTTTTGGGGTAAAAATCTATCGTAAGATAGTTTTCTATTTAAGATACATAAATAATTGAGTTTATTCAGCATGAAATGGAGCTTAGTTATGTAGCATGAGGCTGTATATTCTGCAACACTGGGACTATCGGTGAGTCAACGGTGGGTCAAAGGAGTAGCAGAGATGATAGTTGCTCTTTAAAAATTATGATTTAAATCGAGTTGATTTAAATCAAGCCTTTTTACTAGTGATTTAAATCATGATTTAAATTGTGATTTAAATCAACTCAATTTTAAATCAAATCCACCCTGGTGCCATCATGGATATAGTGCAATATTAATGCACTATCGGGTTTGAATGTGAAGGATGTGTGTTTGTGTTTTATTTTTATAGTTATGATGCACACCGAAGACGGCATTTAATTTCGTTGTACGACATGCAAAGACAATAAAGTAAACTAAACTAAACGCTAAATAAAATCATTAAGGAGGACTATACTCAAGATTGATATTGGACTATGATTATGTCCCTAATGGAAAAAAAAATATCAGAGATATATATGAGACCCCAAATGATCTGCTTTTTCTAGTTGTATAGGCAAACATGCAGCGGTGAAATCCCCCCCCCCCCGGTTCTATCTGGCTCGCCTAACCAGTAGCGCCGGGACGCTCCGCCAACCCGCCGGGATGCCATTACGTCCCGTTTTTTTACCATCTGCACATGCGCAGAAGAGGTGCTCCCGCATGTAGTTTGCGCACGCTCCCGCGCACTCCTGTTCCCGAACTAGTAGCAAAGGTAAGTGGATTTCACCGCTGCAAACAGGTTTTGCGAAATAAACTTCCATGTGCAAAATCCAGCTTGATTATATTTTCCACTAATCTCTTTCTAACCCCCAAAAGTTTGATGTCCATCTGAGTATGGAAGTTGAAGGACCATTAAAAAATAATTTGGAAACCCGATTTGTCGAAAAGTTGGTTCATTTTGCCTATTGAATTGAATTTCTCAGCAGAAAAAAACCTCCATGTGAAATCTGGCACCAGTATATACTTTGAATGGCTTTCCTTCCCTAGAGCGCTGTCAAATAAGACGGACACCAGTCTTAAAGGCATTCGTGTTCTTTGTCTTAGCTCAACATCTTGACGTGCGCGGTTGTTGGTTCCTACACCGTAGTGTTGGCCACAGCATGTTACATCTACACCAGCCTCTCTTACATCGGCATAGATCTACTCCGGAGGATTCTGAATGAAGACTTCAAGAGAACTTACACCAGTGTGCCCTTCCAACCTAATGGTAAGCTTTGAGTTGGGCGAAGTTGGGTGCCTGGTGGGTCAGACTCACCAGTGAGGGCATCTGGAGCAGGCCTGTGACGTCTCTTTCTCTAAAAGCGTTTTGAAGACCATGGAGAACCAATGGAAGCGGAGGGGAAACCATGGAAGCAGTGAGGATGGACTTAGCTTGAACGGTTTTGAAGTCTATGGAGATTCTCGGTCATCCAGGTCATAGTTGTCTCAAAGGTGCTTTTTGAAAAGGCAACTGGACTTTGTTTTTTTTTTCCTTGAAGACATTTCACCTCATCCAAGATCTGAAGAAGTCTTCAAGGAAAAAAGCAGAAAGTCCAGCTTCTTCTTGAAAAAGCACCTTTGAGATCACCACGACCTGGATAGCAGAGAATCTCCATAGACATTCCAAGATGCACCATCCAGAAAGTAAGATGGCTGGTTCCATGGTGAGGTGCCCATTGCAATTGGTCTCCATGCCTCCAATTCAGCACTTGGCTAATGCAATTTCCAAAGGCCACCAGCCTTTCTAGGCCATCTCATTCAATGTCTGAGGATAAAATCTTTTTTTAAAAAAACACCCAAAGTGGAACCTAGTAGATTTAGGTGTTTCGTAAGTTTAGAGCATTCTCTTATTTCTTAGCTTTCGAAAGCTGATTTATACAGGTAATCCTTGAGTTACGGCCACCGTTGAGCCCAACGTTTTCCATTGCAAGATGATCTGTCCCCGTCCACACACACACACAAACACAGCCAGCCGAGGGTTAAGGAAACACTTTGGCACACACCCAGGTCTTTATCTCCAACTTGGCAGCGATATACACACCGTCTGCCAAGTGCATTTATTTCCACAAAACAGAAAGATAATATACTCAGCGTACAAGAGTCCAACAGAAATAATATTCCTCTCAGCAGTTTCGGACGAGGCTTTAGTGACTATCCAAGGTTTATTTTTGTTCGTCACAGGGATCGCTGGCCACCACCCTCTATTATATAGTCTCTGGGGTTTGGTCCAGTGACTCAGTTCTAATCCCTAGCACGCCTCCTGAGCTGCTGCAAACGTTTATCACGCCTTCGGAGGCGTGCGTCCAGGAATGATGTCTCTCCCTCGCTCTCATCCGAGACACCTGTTTCCCGGCTAATCTCCTCTCCCTCGGCTGGCTCCTGAGACAGTGCCAGAGGGGAGGGGCCTGGAGAGGGAGGCTGGCTGACTCCTCTTCCTCATGCTCGGAGCTTTCTTCCTCCGATGGGACAGGCTCAGAGGGCGGGGCCACAACACAAAATCAGACATTTGGCTAGGTGAACTTTGCTCCGTTTTACGACTTTTCTTGCCCCGGTTGTTAAGCGAAGGAGCTTCTTGGATGAGAAGCGAAACATCTTCAAGGGAAAACCAAGGAAGTCCCGTTGCCTTTTGAGGCAGAAGGCTTCAAGGAAGCCTGGATAAAGAGGTAGACCTTTGGGCTTCGAAGACAAGGGGGAGGTGAAAACATTCTAACTAGTTAGTTTAGTTTTAGTTTAGTTTTATTAAATTTGTATACCGCCCTACTCCCGAAGGACTCAGGGCGGTGAACAGGCACAGGATAAAATACAGAAATACAAAAGTTAAAAACAATTTAAAACCAAATTAAATAATTTAGCCCACGACAATGAAAATCCCAATAAATTTAAAACAAATTAAAGTTTCAATTTAAAATTGAAAAGAAAGGGGAGAAAAGATTAGGCCAGGCCGGCTTGCTGGAATAAGAGGGTCTTAAGAGCACGGTGGAAAGTGCGCAGATCCGGGATCCTCCGTATCTCCGGGGGGAGCTCGTTCCAGATAGTGGGTGCCCCCACAGAGAAGGCCCTCCCCCTAGGGGCCGCCAGTCGACACTGCTTGGCTGACGGCACCCGGAGGAGCCCCTCTCTATGAGAGCGTACCGGCCGGTGGGAGGCTATTTGTGGTAGTAGGCGGTCCCATAAATAACCAGGTCCTAAGCCAGGTTCTAACTAACTCTGTGTGGCTTCCTCTTGTAGATATTATCCTCCTGGCCGTCTGGACTATGCTAGCACTCGGAGGAATCACCGTTCAGCTGCGCCGAGAAAGACACGAGGCTCCTTTCCCGCCACACCCGTATCGGTTATGGAAGCGTGAGAGAGAGCGCAGAGTCACCAACGTCTTGGATCCCAGCCATCACGTCCCTCCCTTGAGAGAGCGGATCCACAATAAGCTGTCCCAGATCAAGGACCTCTTTCAGAAAGAGCAGGTAGCCGGCGAAAGAACCCCACTACTCTTATAAAACTGATTTCACGGATAGGAAGCATTGAGAAACGTGGACGGACAACTTTGTGGGACAGGGCACGGAAGACAAGGACTTTCTCAGTGGTTTTTTCCACCTCCATCGAACTGGAGAAGAATCTACGAATTGTCCCAAGACGAATCTACTTGTGTTCTGTTTTCAACTGCTGTGGCAGCCAAGGAAGTTTTTGTCTATTAATTTTAATCTTTGATAGGAAAAAAAAAAGTGTAAAGTTATTGGTGGGGCAGGAAGGGTAGAATAGAAAGGTAAGATGAATAAACCGAGTGTGGAACTTTAAAACTTCAGAGCCCTGAGACAGAAATTGATCATTTCAGATTCACGGGCTTTTCAGAGTCTCAAAAGGCAACCCCTTTAAGGGGAAAGTTAAGTTTCTGAACAGGATGTGCAAAGTGTTGGAGAAGGCAAAAAAAAATTAATTGTGGCCTTTGTACTCTTAGGGATTAATTTGGATGATCAGTGCTAGTAAATAACAGGTTTCGATTGTCAAGCAGCACTAAAAATGGAATTTTCCTTGGATTGTGTTTACTAGTTGTGTGTGACAAATGTTTTGACTTTGGGATATGGAAGAAGGGGTGGGTTTTCTCAAAGCCTATAGGAAAAACTCTCCTTTTTTTTTTTTATAAAAAAAATAAGCTAGAAAAGTGAATGATCTCTGGAATCAAATGCTTTTTTTTTAAAAAAAAGAAAGAATAACCATGTAATATATCTAATGAGTTTTAACAGTAGTCCATTTTCAGATCGGGATGCTGTTTGTTTAGAATTGGCTCTAAAATATTTCTCTCTCTCTTTTTTATAAGATAAAAAAAATTAGTACGTTGAAGCATCTTTTGATACTCTGGTTGAAAAAATGTTAAAAAAACAAAACAAAACAGCCCATGAAGTCAATTTATTTCTTACAGTAAGCAGGAGGCATTAGGTAACCTGCTGTGCAAGGGACAAGATTGTCTTAATTCATGATTTCATGCTGTTTCTCTTATCTCCTGTGGTTTATATTCAGCCTTAGGGAAACCAGGTCCTTTTCAAATTGAACATACCTAGGTAGGTTAGTTGTGTAGATCCAAATCCCCAATTCCTAATTATTTTACCCTGATTATTCAGAGATCATTTCTGCAATTTTGGGGACCAAAGAAGTGATCTAGAGCTAGAGAAACTGCTCAGTTTTAATTTATTTTGGAGAAGAAAAAAAAAACCCATGTAAATGATGTTATATTCCGACCCTGCTCAGTCGTGGAAATGTATTGAGAAATCCCATTTTTTAATTGGGATTTTTGTGATGTTTCTAAACTGTGGAGCTAAATTCCCAAAACTTCTGAAGGTATGGAGCTTAAATTTTCCTCAGATAAAGTTTTCCTTCTTTTTCCTCCAGTTGTGAATGCTATTCCTATAAATTGAATAGGCTTACAGATTTAATGCTCCCCCCCCCCAGTGCAGATGGGCAGTGTTTACGAGATGATGAAACTTGTTTTTTTAATCTCCCTTTTCCGTTTTAAAACTATTTGTTGCTTAGGCTGTTGACTCATGTTGAAACTCCACGTAATTGGGAACGGGGATTGGAAGAAAGTGTCTAAAAAATGGGTCGAATGGCACAAATGCAGTGATTTTTCCATCCAGCCAAGAGATTTATTTTTCAAGTGAGAAAATAAGTGCCTAGCTGAACCAGCCAGGCCTGTTATATCTACTGTTGAAGGGATACGTGATACGCCTTCTATTTTTCTTGGTGCAGAAAAGAAGCAATTTATTGCTTTGCTAACTCACCCTTTTTGTCCACAGAGGTGGCAGATAAGAGGCTGCAGAACAGACTGTGCTGCAGCTGTATTGTACGTGTCAGATAGTCCTGAAAAAAAATGAAAATTTTCAGACCGCTTATCTTAAGTTGTGTCTTTCTACTGCCTTATGGTTTGAAACGGTTCAGCGGATAGCAGTGACGGTTGGCAGTTTTTGAAAATCTAAAGCCATTCTGGTATTTGACCTTCAAAAAGTGTAAACCTGAAATCATTGTAAATGCGAGCAGTAGATTTAATAAAGGGGTATGTCCCTAATCTGTAGCAGCTATTCATAGGTCAGCTGCATTTTAAGGTTCAAAAGTGAAGATAATCAACCTGCCTCCAGGCAGTTTCATATTGCAGGCTACTTTTTAGCGCCCAGATGAATTGCCACGTCTGATGGCATGGTACTCAGGAATCAAACAATTAGCTATTTTTAACGTGCTATAATTGACAATACAACGAACAAAACAAAGTCACCCAATCCTTTTATAATAAACGTTCAGTTTAAAATGGAAGTGAGAGCCGAGTGATTTTTCTTCCACAGTGCTATCCCTAGAGACTTAATGTTTTCCAGTCCAGAAGAAGAGCAAAGTGTTCAAAGCCAAAGTGTTGATATTCCAAAGGAACCACAGAAATAAAGTGGCTACTTGACTCCTTTGGGTTTTATTTAGGAAAAACCTCCGTGGTAGGACAAATGTATAAAAGGGCTCTAACTGGCATCAGGTCTCTTATCACACCTACAATGGCCACAGTGGTGTGTGCTGCTCTTTCTACTTTGTGCACTAAGCAGGGCTGACCTAACCAGCACTGAAGGTACAAGAGAAGATCCTGATTATTTTGCCTAGCCTCCCAAAGGCAAGACTTTATATTCCGTTACCAATTTCCAAGAACCTTTCTGCAACTAACAGTGGTCCTTGAATGTGAAGACCAAACCACTGAGGCTCTGAGCGTGTTTCCTGCCTGATAAACCACATACCACAGAAGATTCAGGGTTACATTTTGCACTGTCTGGTAAGGGAAGGGGGAGGCCAAGGCAAGGCTCACCAACAGGATCCCAAGGCCTTCGATCAACAGGTGAGGGCAAAAGATTTGTATTGCTCCTTCACATTTTTTGCTGCTGAAATTCAGGAAGGCCACAAAATTATATTTAAGTGTTTTATGTAACATTTGAGCTAACTTGGCTCGGGAGGGGCACTACTAGGTGAATGTTGAAATGGCAAAAGTTGAAATCTACCATAATCGTGAGATTTCTTACCTTTAGAAAAAGGCAAGCACATAGGTTCCTGAGAATGATGTCATTTGCTCCTGCTGAACTGCTCTCTATAGTTAGTGGCTCACTAGCAACCACATATTTGCACACAAAAAGGTATTTGGGAATGTTGAATAGATTATCATGAATTGTAATTTATGGATCCTTAGTGCTCAGTGATTGGTTGTTTTCTTGCAGTTTCATTATGCCAAAAAGGTAACAATATCAGTGATGTTATCTAGTTTTGGTAATGAAACATCTGCAAAAAAAACAAAAAACAAAAAACCCCAAGCTCAAGAGAGCACCACGGGCCCTTCTTTTTAACCCTGAGTTACGAATATTCTCCTTTAGCAGAACTGTAAATTGCTTTGTTTGCAAAACTGTGTGTTATGATTGAAGGAATCTGATAGTCACTTTGTGGACTTTTCTGTTATGCAATTTTTTCCCCCACCTATAGATTGAAAAGTCCAACTGTAACTGGCTTTGATTTATCCTTTTATCTTCCAACTGTTCCTAACAGCTTGTATTAGTTTCTTGCAGTCCAATCCAATAGAAAAACTTAATTCTTACTAAGAATTAAGATTGTGCCCAACAAGAAAAAAGGACTGGATTTGATCAACTATTACTACATATTCTTGGGGTTTTCTTCAATGTCAATAACAGCTATCAGAGACAGGATTTAATTTCTCCAACTCTTAACTGTTGAAACATCTATCCAACCTGGTTTACTGGTAAAAATAAGTTTACTGTACAGATTGCATTCTCACCAATAAGGTCATTTCAAGCATTTGCAATACAAAAATGAGATAGAAAATGGCCATGCCACACGAGAGGAAAAGTAAATGGTAGGTACACCCCTTGACAAATTAAGGTTTCAACTAGATGACCACAGTAAGTTACACATACAAGTTATTTTTCAAGCATGCTTCCATAAATAATTCTTGGTGAGCTAATGACATCTATTTCACAAACTTGAGGGTTTCCACATTTACATAGTAAGGTTCTGAGGAAGACTGCATTTTGACAGTGCTGTATCAAGTGCACAACAGATAGTTTTGACTTTACACACCAAATATCAAGAAAATAATTTTTTGTTAACTCCTATTTACAAACATATTTTAGAATTTACAAAGGGGGATACATATCTGAGAAATTCTTATCTAGAGAAGGAAAACATGTTATACAAATTCTTGTGCTCAGCCTAATAGATCTTTTGTCTACAGTTTGCTTTGTAAAGTTAAGAGTTCACCTCTCTAAGCAAAAATTATGAATAAATTCCTTTTTACTGAGGTATTTAATGAACTGGGCATAGATATAAACATCTGAATATTGAAATTAGCAATATATTTTGAGCAGCTCGTTTTTGAAAAATATTGGCATTAATATAAATAAGCTGTGGAAAATATTTTAAGACTGGAATGCCAGATAATAAAAATTATCTAGGAGTATGTCTAGAGTTCAGCTAAAGATATTTGTTGGCTAAATATGCACTATGATGTTTGAATGAACTACTATGCCAAAAATATTTACCAATAAAAGCATAATAGTAGGTCACAGTTTAAAATCAGAATTAAACAGTTGCTGATTCTCCCCAGCCAGCATAATAAAATCACTGGTAAACTCTTAATGAGCTTAACAAAACTTCTAGGAACAACTTGGAAAAAACATGATAACGACATGCAAATTTGATCCGAAACTGTACCACCAAGTGTTATTCCAAGCAAATTTGAGAATTAACACATTTCCCTTCCATTTTTAATTCTATGTACATTCCTCGAATAAGTGGGAAATAATTTCAGCTCAGCTAATTAGTTAAGTGGTCTATAAATGACTAATGGAGGCCTGCTTTTTTAGCCAGGCTCCCTGAAAACTAGAATCTCTTCTTACAAAAATGCATTTTCAAAAAGTTTCAGCTTATCAAGACAAGTTTACCTGTTTTTCCATGTCGTTATGTTAGAACTAAGATTTATTTGCCAGACGGCTACCCCTCATATACGAAAACAAGCGGCTCCTGGTATATTTTTGAAAAGTCACTTATTAAAATCTAAAGTTAAGGTTTACTCTTAAAGAGACACTTGCCTTAATTCCCAAGTACCCTTCGTGCAGGGAGGCAAATTAGGAAATAAAACTATCCTGTTTCTTCTTTCAATTGGTAGATACTCAACTTCCTGATAAACCATTCTGCAAATTCTGGGATAGCTTTCCAAAAAAGAGCTACCATGTTTCATTGGCTAGGAGTAAAAAAAGGATAAAGGCATCGAAACCCATTGTGCGTATGGAACCCCGCTGAACCCAACTGCTTTTAGCTATCGACATGAAGCATTTCCCATCCCTTAATTGGATGTTTTCTCCAAAAATATTCTATAAAACTCTCAAGCATTTCATAAGCGGGTTTTTTTTAATTCGCAGGATATCTCACATGAAAGCACATATGAACCTCAAGTTATTTACATACACATTAATGACTTATCTTGACTTACTGAAAGGTAAGAAAAAGTTCTTCCATGTTTATGCTAACTAAAACATGATGTGGATCTGTTAAATTTCATAGGGATCTAAACAGATTTTTCTTTTGTAATTTCACTATATTTCCCATCAGTTACTGGTTGTAAAAGAATATATTTCAGAAATACCTCAGTGTGCAAAAGTTCCCTTAACTTTTATTGCTTACTGACTGATCTTAACACATCCTATTAGTCCCTAAGTTTTGAGAAGAGCTAAAAAATACTTAACATTAACAACAAATGTCAGCAAATTTCTCACCAGCCCCATCGTTTCCCCCATGAAATTATCTTTTTAAAAAGATGCTGTTATTCTTGTGGAATTATTTATATTTAAAAATGAAGTTCCTGCCCATATGAAAGAGAGTTTCAAGTGTTACACTAGCAATGCACTAAAACCGAATTCTTACAAAACAACCCCTCAAATTTAGGAAAGCAAGAGATTTAAAAACATCAGCAATACAGTGACTGTGTCCTGGAGTAGATCAATTACTGTATATGACTGTGCTTTGAATATTTTCCTCCACCAATCGCTGAGTATTATATTCTATACATGGTGTAAAAGAATCAACCGGATTTAGGATATATTAATTTCTCAATGCCCATTAGAAAATATCTGCTTTGATACTTCTTGCTGTTACAACCAGACCGTGTTCATAAGCACTTTAATTTTTTCTCAGACTCAAGTCACTGTTTGTTACTAGTGCTGACAGAGATGTACTTTCTGAGGCATCTTCCTTAAGATTCAGGAACGATTCTCTGGTTATCTGCAGTATTTCTCTCAGTCCTTTGTTTTCCTGCTGTAAGCAACAAAACAATGCTTTAAAGCGGCATGACAAGGAATGAAAATGCTCTTCCCCTTCCCAGCATTAAGTTGTTGTTTCTCTTTCCTTAATGGCTTCTGCAATCTTTCATCAAGGTTATCTCCACATTCTTCTACAATCCCGTCCCTTGAGGTGATGTTGACGTACCATCCTTGAATACCACAGCACCAGCGTACTGAAGCATCCAAGCTAAGTGTCTTTTACTAGCGGAGTCACTCATTAGAGGCCACTAGGGCACAAAGATTTTCACAGGAAGATTTCGGTTTTTTCAAGCATATGGAAAAGTACTAAAATTAAGGACTAGGCAGAAGATGTACTTTTCTTTGATTTGAAAGTCTGACTTCTCTCATTCTCACTATAAGGGATGGGGAAAACAAAAGGATCTTGTAAACTGGTTGAGGCAACAGCACTCTACCGGTATACCCATGCAAAATATACAGTCCTTGACTTACAAGTTTGTTTAGTGACCATTCAGTTACGACAGCACTGAAAAATGTGATTTACGACCTTTCAGTTATGATCTTTGCAGCATCTCCATGATTCAATTCATGATTCATCTCAATTCAGATGCTTGGCAACCGGTTCATATTTATGACTGTTGCTGTGTCCCAAGGCCATGTGATCCCTTTTTGCAACCTTCTGACAAGCAAAGTCAATGGGGAAGCCTGATTCACTTAACAACTGTTACTAACTTAACAACTGCAGTGATGGACTGAACAACTGTAGCAAGAAAGGCCATAAAATGGAGCAAAGCTTACTTAACTGTCTCGCTTAGCAACAGAAATTCTGGGCTCAATTATGGTCATAAATCGAGGACTACCTGTAGTTCTTCAGTTCCTCTGGAATTTAACCTTAGTCTAAAGAGCTGGACTTGGGAATGGGATGCAGAGGTAAATGTGAACAAATGTGCTTTTACTCAGGAACTGAAGTTAACAAGAACA